AAATAATATTTGAGGCAGGTAAGACTGAGCTGCTAATATTTCTTAAATTTCTTAAAGCTTTTAATTTAAATTGGTAGGCCAGATATATCCACAATATCCACAACAAGCTGGATACCCTGCTCAGCAGCCTCAGCCTCAGCCACAGTATGGTATGCAGTATCCAGGTAAGCAGGTGGAAGGTACCTCAACATTTTTGTATATAGTACACAATGTGTTCACTTAACTGTATCCTGAAATGCATGCTCTCTAATTCTGTTCTGAAATCAAACTACTTTTCTGTAAACTTCAGTATTTTTTTGCAAAATTCCACTGCGCAAGGGACCTTAAGACTTTACTCAGCAACTATCTTCTTGGGTGCAATTCAGTTGCAGAAGCATGAAAACTTTGCGTGTGTGTGAGAGAAAGTAGAGGATCCTGGACAACATCTGAATAATGCAACCATGGGGACAGGGCAGATGAGTTTTTTCCAAGTGGTTGCATTGTTCACATAACGATTACTGTTTTGATACAGGCCCCAGATAATGCGGGATAACCTTACCGAAAGGTAGCTCCTAAATAGTTGTTTCTAAGTATGAAGGGCATCTCAGAGGTTATTGGAGGAATAGCATTCAATCCTACTTGTTCTTGCTAAGAGGTTGTGCCCCTCAAAGTTTACTGAAGATGATCCGGTTAGAACACACTGTTTTGGAGCTGGTGGGCAGTGGGTTTTTTGCATTAACATGTGGAGCATCAAAAGAAAAGGCCTGCATGAGGTTTTTCTTGCTTCCCCATTCTCCCCTGATTGGCCTCCAGAAAGCATCTGGAACTCTTCAGTTGAAGTGAAATTAGTCAAATGCTCCCTTAAAATGCTCAATAAATTGGGAGAGGTTGAGAAAACAATGCATTTTTTTCTTCTGAAGAAAACTCAGATCTGGTGTTTACATTTGCCTCGAACATTGACCCATTGAAGTCGTTACTATAAGCTGATTTTATCCGCACCAGGGCAATTTTTGAGGCCCAATTCCCTGTGAATACCACAGAGATGCTACTACGTCAAGTGATTACAGGCAAAGTTAACTATTTCCTGAGGTAGAAGTTTCTGAGTTTGCTGGTGTTGCAGTGAAGCCATTCCCTTTTTATTTGGCTGTCGTGTGTGCTTTTTCCAATACGAGGCAGTTTCTTATATATTGATACCAGGTAGTAGGATTTGTTTCTTGTGATCATCGCCACGTGTCAGTATTGGTAGGACTAGACTGAGCTATCCAAAGCACACCTAAGTTTGGTAGTGCTCTTGTTTTAAAAAGTAAATTTGAGCCCAAGTTCCAGGTGAGTTCAAAATTTACTCCATTGTATTCTCTCATCCTTGCTTTCTCTGTTCAGGGTCTTGCCTTTTTAATAATTGTTATATATCTGGTATTTAATGCTAACAGGATTCCAGTCAATGGAGATGTTTCATTGCAAGTAGTTTCAGGTGTGTTTCATGCCAGAAATAAATGGAGTATCAGTCTTTGTACCGGTGTTTTTTTTTACATTTGCAATCTGAAATTCTTTTCAGTCAGACTGATAGTGAAGCACAAGTATTAAAAGCACCTAAACTGTTGCCAACATCTACTTTTGAGATTAGTGTCTGGAGGAATTTTTGTGTGTGCAGAACTAAATATGTTCAATTAGTTGTGTGAGCTGACTTGTTTCAAACTAAGAATAATACATAGCTTGATTATTTATGAAATTGCACTTTAGTAAAATAAGACATCACTGAATATAACTGCATTTTAAAGAAAGATTTTAAAACATATTGGAAATAATTGCCTAAATGGTTGTTGGATTAAAATGGGAGTTTTAATCCAACAACCATTTAGGCAATTATTTCCAACATGTTTTGGCTATGATGGTTGGGACTTGTGGGAAGTAGAGACTTGCAGCATCTAGAGGGCTATAGGTTGTCCACTCCTGCTTTAGAGCAGCACTATTGGAGAATGTTACTCCAGCCACACTTTTGTGCACTGGAGTTGGCTAGTATGCATCCAGGCTGGGGGTTTTTTACATTAAAAAATGCAATTCATGTTTTACCCCCCACCCCCTGTTGTTTTTCATGTATGTTTTTTAGCTTTTGTCTGGAATGTCTGTATTTTTTAAGAATGCATTACAAAGTAAACCGTTGTGTTACTTTCACTTATCTGCATTGCTATTTGGCTCTTCCAGCAGGCTACAGCCAGCAGACTGCTCCTCAACAAGCACAGCAGTTCCAAGCATACAGCCAGCAGCCCTCACAGGCTCCAGCTCCTGGGTTTCCTGGCCAGCCTCAACCTCAGCAGCTGCCAGCTCAGCCTCCCCAGCAGTATCAGGCAGGCACCTTTCCTGCACAGAACTACACAACACAAGCTTCACAGTCGGCCAGCTATAACGTGACCCCAGCTTCGCAACCTGGAATGGCTCCCAGCCAGCCAGGTGCTTATCAGCCAAGACCAGGCTTCACTCCACCGCCTGGAACTACTATGACACCCCCTCCAAGTGGCCCTAATCCATATGCACGCAATCGCCCTCCTTTTGGCCAGGGTTACACCCAGCCAGGTCCTGGCTATCGATAAGGAAGCTGTGCTGTTGACGGGCCCCGAGTAAGTCCAAGCTGTTGCTGTTGCTATTCCATCCATACAGACTCCAAGGTTCTTTAACTAAAATATGGAAACTAATGAAAGGCAGAATATTCTATGGTATCACTGTTGCTGTATAATTTGCTGGGATAAATGACCAAATGAATCTTGTTTCCTGCTTTAAATTGTATTGGCTTTCTAGTTTAATATTGGAAACACTACCTAAATGTTTGTAAAGTAATGACATTCTGAATTGCCATATTAAACTACTAGGTGAAAAATCTAGCTGAAATCTGGCTTGTTTTTACTCATAAAATGTACTAAATTAGACCCACTTGTTAAAACTAGGTATGATGTTTAAATTGTAACATGCACACTGAAATTGAATAAAATATTCAAACCATCCTTTTTTGTTCAATTGCCGGGCATTGCGTTTTTACTACATCCATTGCAACATCTGCAGCTATAGTAAAAAAAACCCACCCCCACCCCCCAATCAGGAATGCTTCAACCAATATAAATCTTCATGTAAGCCATCCCATCATTTCCTGTGGGGGCTGCAGAAGACCTTGGATGCTGGCAAATTGTTACCAGCAAGTGTAGATCATAGTTAACTAGGTGAAATGATATTCACTGTGTAAGGCATTGTACCTGTGTCCTAGGTGTAGTGACTGCTAATCCCTATAATGGCCTGAGGCACTGCCTGTGCACTTACCTGAGCATGTGCACTAGACTAGGAAGGATTGATGCCCGCTTCATGGTATTCACAGCTATTGAATCACATGCACCATGTCCTTTTCACCATCCCAGGGAATCTTGGAAATAGCTGTTTACTGACTCAAGAACAACAAATTAATAGTTGTATCAAAATGGATTCACAAACTTAATGTGACAGTGAATGTTCTGTGAAGTACTCATGTGACAGGCTTATTATAGTGCATGGGAATCATAACCTGTTAAGAGCATATCTTGAAACACATTGAGTTATAGCCAGCTAAATTCTACTCAGAGCAGACTCATTGAAATCAATAGACCTAAGTTATGCCCATTAATTTCACGATTAACGTTGGAGACAACCCATTCACATTTAGTTCTGTGGAATGAAGCAATTGAACTATTAGAGGTTGCATTTTCAAAAGCTCCCATATATGCTAAAGTTCATAAAGTAACATGATTTAACTATTTCAACCAAGACCTAAGGTACCCAGCTATTACAACTGTATGAATCAATAGCTCCTTGTGATACTGCAAAACCATTTCAATTTATATATGTGCAGCACCATCTTTCAAGCTGCCACAAATGCACAACTTGCCAAGGTTGCATGTGCATGTCCTGTACGGGAGCACAATGTGTCACACAATGCTTCCATGTAAGAAACCCAGCACATTCATTTAGGCAACCACATGAGGCTATGGAGCATCTCAGCTAAGCCATATTGAGGGAGATGCTCTATTTCACATTGTTTACAAAATCTTAGTTAAGGAAGGATGTGGCACACTCTGAGTTTGCTGTCAATCTGATGTACTGAAACAGGGCACTCCCACCTCCCCCAAACTATCTGATAATTTCAGTTATAATTTCAAAATTGCAACTAAAGGTTACTGAAAGTCTTTGAAGTGGCTCTCAAGAGAATTTAGGATTGTTTTCAGAATTTTTCAGTTTTGTGTCTGCTGAATATACCAATGGATCAAATACTACTTATGATTTAAAATACTTTATTAAGAGTACAGTGTACCGGCAATGTACTTAAAAGTTTTTTTTTTATTATAAACAACCAATCCAATATTCCTTGTGTTCTTTTTTAATACGTTGAATAAACACCTTTAAAAACCTACATCTCTTTATATATATAATGTTTAAATGTTTAAGCAATACAAATATATCACTTTGTGTAGAGGGGAAGCACAGAGCCATTTTTAAAAAACAGCTTTCATTTTTCCATTCTACAAAGCAGATCACATTACTGTTTCAACTGTATATAAAGATTTTTGTATGCTTCAGCCATAATATATTCTACATGGTATTTGACTGAAGTCTGCATTCATCTTTACTCAACACAGTTAAAACCTAATAATCATACTAGCTTGTTAAGGGTACATTTAAACCTGCTGATTCTTGATTTTATGTCTTGATTTTTTGGGAACACTTTATAAATTATGAATATTGCATACATGTTGGGAAGGCAGGTTTCCCTGGAAGCAGTGAATGATTCTCTGCTTTGTACTGTAAAGGCAAACACTGTACTTAAAATACATGACCTTGGTAATTATTAGAGCACACAATATTTTGAGATGCAACATCCTGTTTTGCTCCATTATAATGATAGTGATCACAAGGTTAAGGTTTGTACAGATCATCTCCCTGTTGTTTGCTGTAGCAACAGATTTTACCTTTAGGTGGCTGCATTCTACCTTTCGAGCAGAGCTGAAATCAATCCACTATAGAGAGGCAATAATCTGCAGAGACATAGCTTCCAGTTACTCCAAAAGCACCATAGAAGCATGTGTATACAGTCCCTTCAATAGTTAGCTCCATCTATGCAAGACAAGTGTCTTGAGGAGCAGGTCTTACAAGCAAGCTGTAACCTGCTTTTGCCAAATCAAAGTCCTGTTGGACATACAAAATTAAAAGGAATAGAGAATAAAACCTACCCTTAGGTGAGTTCTCCACAAAATGATGCAGGCATCCAATCTACCTCAGGCCAAGTGGTGAGCATTTTGCCACACTTGCAAATGGCAGAACGATTATTGACATGGGCTCAGTCAAATGGTTCTCTGGCATGTGGCTGCCATGTTTAAAAACACAGGCTATCTGAGTACAGAGCTGTACAGAGAGCATCATTAGCTTTCCAGAGTGTTCAAATAGAGAACTGTATATTTGCAGCCTGGGCATATAAAGTAGCAGAAAAGCTAACCTGACAGAATAACTTAAATGAGTTGAAAAATAAATCAGAACACGGACTTCAGCAGTATGCATCAATAAAATTCAGAATACATACTTTTCCATAAAAGGTGCCTCAAACAATGATAAATAATAAACTACATCTTTCAAAATATGTAGAGGGCACCAGAAGAGACTTAAGAGGGAGCCAGCTTCCCAAGTATTTTATGACATGTTCTAAGTTCCTACAACAGATCCATAAATCTGGACAACTATAATTAAGCAGCCAATGCTATCAAACAGTTAACACAGTATTGTTAGATTTCAGAATGAACAATACTACACCACAACACATTTCCATCTCTCAGCTTGCCTGGCTTAGCCATAGCTGGATTGCAGCCATTTGGTATCATCCTTTGCTCTGCCATTTGTCTTATCTCTTGCTCTACCATTTTCCAGGTATTGTTGCTCCACACTCATACCAGTGGACGTAGTTAGTATGCGTCTCCGCGCCTATTTTCCCAAACTTGACCGGCTCCTGTCGCACCGCTCTAAAAAAGCCTGGTAAAACAAAATGAGGGAAAGTAGAAGTTGAACACTGAAATGCTGGTTCTGGTATTAACATTTGCCTAGGTGTACACTAGGTGTAAAATCTCTCACTGTCTCCCTTTCTTCTCCTATTTGCCAGGAGGTGATGGGACCAGTGGCCATGATCTTAGTTTTTTTGATGTGGAGCTTCAAATATGGTTTGAAGCTCAACATCAAAAAAACTAAGACCATGGCTGCTGGTCCCATCACCTCCTGGCAAGTAGAAGGGGAAGAAATGGAGGCAGTGAGAGATTTTACTTTCTTGGGCTCCATGATCACTGCAGATGGTGACAGCAGCCACGAAATTAAAAGACACCTGCTTCTTGGGAGAAAAGCAATGACAAACCTAGACAGCATCTTAAGACATCACCTTGCCAACAAAGGTCCGTATAGTTAAAGCTATGGTTTTCCCAGTAGTAATGTATGGAAGTGAGAGCTGGACCATAAAGAAGGCTGATTGCCAAAGAATTGATGCTTTTGAATTATGGTGCTAGAGGAGTCTTGAGAGTCCCATGGACTGCAAGAAGATCAAACCTCTCCATTCTTTGGGAAATCAGCCCTGAGTGCTCACTGGAAGGACAGATCCTGAAGCTGAGGCTCCAATACTTTGGCCACCTCATGAGAAGAGAAGACTCTCTGGAGAAGCCCCTGATGTTGGCACAAGGAAAAGGGGATGACAGAGGATGAGATGGTTGGACAGTGTTCTCGAAGCTACTAACATGAGTTTGACCAAACTGCAGGAGGCAGTGGAAGACAGGAGTGCCTGGCGTGCTCTGGTCCATGGGGTCACGAAGAATCGAACACGACTAAACAACAACAACAACACCACACCTAAGATTTTTAAAGTGCACATTTAAAAGTGTAAAGCAAGGGTAGTGGACTTTTTCCACCTGTGGGGCACATTCCCTTATACCTTTGGGGGAAACCGCATGTCCATAGCGATTAGGGCCAGAGGCAAACATGGGTACAGCTACAGACAAAAGTGGGCAGAGTGACTCTTAAGTCTGAGATTGATACATCCCTTTTCTCCATCTGGGCAACCATTATCACAGTTGAATGATGCATTCCAGCCAACCAAAAGCATTCAAGTAGGGCATAGAGCAAGGCCACTTGGAAGTGTGGCCTGAGGAGAATCTGAAGAGCTGACCAGAGAGGCCTGGAGGCATTCAGCCTCTGGGCCTGAAGTTCTCTAGCCCATAGGGCAAGACAACGACAAGCATGAGCAAATTTTAGTTTGCAAATGTGTGTCCTAAACAAGCTTTTAGGAAGCCAGGCTTGGCTGTGGATCCATGTCAAGTGTCCAAAAAGTCAAGACACAAACCCTTTAGAACATACCCTCTTTGGTAGGTAGTTGATCCGACTGAACATGTGGCCCTGTTTTTCCGTCTAAATACGAGTCCACAAATTGACAGTGATCTTCTCCATGCCCCCTCTGATCTCCTATGTCGTAAAATTTACCTGAAAACATGAAGATCGCTTTTAAAAAATGAGTGAAATTCAAATGCCATTAAATAATGATTAGAGGAGTGTTTATGACCGTCCTAAAGAATTTGACAAGAGGTGCATAAAACTGACCAGTCCCTGGCCAGTAGACCATGCCTACAGCCCTATAAACATGTTTGGCCAAATCCAATTTGCTGCTCCCCACCCCCAAAAAGCTAACTGACCCAATTGCAACTTACTTTACATAGCTTTGCACATTCACACCTGTGTGTGCTGGTCCTCATTTAGCTGGTCGTACATCTGTGGAAGCCTGTTCCATGGGTATATGGCCCACTACCTGGATCATTTGCCATCTCAAGCATGTACCCTGTCAGTGACAATCTCTGCTAAGCCGGCAGCAGCCTTTTCAGGTGACTACAGATTCCATGCCCTTTAAAGTTGAAGACAGGAATCTTTGTTCCACTTTACCATCAGTGAAGCACTGAATGAAGCAAGTGGGGATGATCTAGCCTACAATGCTGTACATCCTGTTCAATCCTTAAAAGAACATACTGATGCAGCTGGTGCTGGGATGGCTTCTGGATTTTTGATCGCACAGAGATGAGTCATTGCTAGCACTGAGAGCCATAGTCGGTCATTGCCCAGTGTTCTTCCACATGGCAGATGGAGCACAGCATTGCCACCCAAAGCAGTTAAGGGAAGCTTTTTCTCCAGACGGCAGCATTGACAAAGTGCTCTGATGGCATGATGCCCCTGGTCAGCTCACAGCACCAACCATCCCATACTGCTGCCCTCAATTTCATACCTGTAAGTGAATCGCTGAGGTAAATTTTGTATCGGAGGGAGTTGCACAACTGTACACCAACAAACTTCTTGTACCAAGTCCTCTTGACAAACTGTTTCCCCTTGCATTCAGAATAGGAATCAGAATTGAATTTGATTTGAGTCCAGATGGCATCTTTTCCCACTGTAAGGGAGCAACAAATAATCTATGTTCAAAAATCTGTGCGTAGACATTGGAATGAAGTGAAAGAAAGAGACATATAGGAACATTTTTTAATTTTTACCCTGTCTTCCACTATGAAATGGCCTCAAGGCAGCTCACAATAACAAAACAAAACAAAACAAAACAAAACAAAACAAAACAAAACAAAACAAAACAAAACAAAACAGTATAATAAACAAGAGTTGGAAGATAAACCAGAAGAACTAGCAGATAAAAAGGAAAGTAGGTATAAATAGGAAATAAAAGGTTATGAAAAGGTCTCATATTTACACCAATTTCTGATCAGAACTCAGGCACAAAAGCGTAGTAACCAGTTAGACAGGAATAACAGCTCTAATTTGCTCAGCTGAATTGATGGGACAACTGATTTGTACATTTCTTTGAAGTTTAGGTTTCAACCAATAAAAAGGTTTAATACATTGTAGCAAGAGAAATACGAGATGTGTGAAAGGGTCTTTTGCGATGCAGCACTGAGATTGCAGAACTTGGTACCTAAGGAAACCAGACAGGTCCCTTCCTTATACCAATGTCTTGTAACTTCTCCACTGCATTTAAATTACTGTTTGTTCTGAGCTTTTCTACTTTGTGTTTCTGCTGTCGCTATAGCCGGCTCTATTCACTTATATTATTGTTTCAATTGATGATCTAAGCTGCATTGGAGGCCCCTTTGGGGGATGAAAAGGGGGGTAAAAATGGATTTTGTAACTAAAATAAATGCTGAGAAACACATTCTGTTGGGGGGGACGAACCACAGAAAGGAAGACTGCCTTTTACGCCATATTAAACATGAGTCTCCTAAATGAATTAAGAAACTTACCACCCCCCTTGACTGTATCAGATCCTTTCCTGCTAGTTAAAGACCTTATAGGGAGCTTACAGTCCCCCACTATAAAGCTGATGGCAGCCAACATTTTTCAGAGAGCTGCAGAAGCTGATGGCAGATTTTCTATAGCAGTGGCTGGACACTGCTGCATGCTCTGTTAAATCACTTATTAAGTGAGAAACAGCCTATTCATTTCAGAGAGCTGTCTTTTAATTTAATGACAGGCCCGAGAAAATATGAGCTGTGCCTGGCTCATTTCTGCCCCTTGGTTCTGAGCCAGTGGAGCGCCACCTCCAATTGATTAGGCACGCCTCAGGTAAACATTTAGACTGGCAGGAACTCTTTGCAAACAGTGCAGGTCAAAAAAACACCCCCCCCCAAAAAAACCTGTGAAATCATATGCAAAATGCCTTTCTCTTCCAAATCCACTCTGTCATACAGCAGTACATTATCTCACCTCAGAAAAATGCTCTCACCAGAGTATACTATAATGTATAAAGGACTTACTTGAAATTGGCTCAGTCACTCTTGGGTCCGCTAAGGAGAAAAAACAAGTGCTGGGTCAGACTGCAAAATAACTTCTAGCATTTCAGAAGTATGCTGGGGGAAAGGGTTTACTTCTTCAGTTGACATGAATTGTAACCTGTACAACTGCAACGTGGTTTGAAATCAAGACAGAACACTTGTGAGCTTACGTTAAACTAATAAGCTGCTCACGACTACTTTGAAATACCAAAGACTGTGCTTTGAAGTACAGTGGTACCTCAGGTTAAGTACTTAATTCGTTCCGGAGGTCCGTACTTAACCTGAAACTGTTCTTAACCTGAAGCACAGCTTTAGCTAATGGGGCCTCCTGCCGCTGCTGTGCCGCCGGAACACGATTTCTGTTCTCATCCTGAAGCAAAGTTCTTAACCTGAAGCACTATTTCTGGGTTAGTGGAGTCTGTAACCTGAAGCGTATGTAACCCGAGTTACCACTGTACCTAAGACTGTGCTTTTAAAAGTGCTGTATATCTGATGTTTTGGTCTATTTTAGGACCTTTTAAATGTGTCAGGGGGGTATAATTTTTGTTACTTTCTTATGTATTTTGCGTCTTTACATTGTAAACAACAACAAGGCCTTAAATGAGGTCATAGCAATTTTGAGAGTAATTAATTAATTAATGGCATTTTAAACCAGGCAGGGAGTTGTATTTAAAAATAAAATAAAAATTAACAACATTTCCAGGTACCAGATTAAAACGTCATTCTTGAGGAAGTTTGTGTAAATGCATAATTCCCATATAGCTTTCACTTTATCTGCTGATTTTTCTTACAGCGGGTAGATATTAAAACGTGTAAAGAGCTAGAGAGGCTTGTAGCTAATTGGTACACTTATTAAAACTCTTACCTGATTCAGTTTTAAATGGCTTTGATTCGGTGCTCGGTCCTTCACCAAGGGGGTTGCTAGGTATCACAACAAATTCATAACTAGGAAGAAAATGGAAGGGGGGACACACCCAGTTCTTTATTACAAACATCAAGCATTGCATGGTAAAGTTTATCATTGGTTTATCTAAAAGGACTGTTGTAAGTATTCCTGAGAATACAGTGGTACCTTGGGTTAAGAACTTAATTCGTTCTTGAGGTCTGTTCTTAACCTGAAACTGTTCTTAACCTGAAGCACCACTTAAGCTAATGGGGCCTCCCACTGCTGCTGCGCCGCCAGAGCACGATTTCTGTTCTCATCCTGAAGCAAAGTTCTTAACCCGAGGTACTATTTCTGGGTTAGCGGAGTCTGTAACCTGAAGCATATGTAACCCAAGGTACCACTGTACTATGATTTTGCTACATAGCTATAATTTCTACATTGAAAATTGCACGAATGTTGCACATATATAATCACATGGACCAAATGCATACATGCATATTTTGCCACATATACACGCTACTGGGACCCACAATCAGTAAGGCAATCTAGAATCACAGAATTGTAGAGTTGGAAGGGACCCCAAGAGTCATCTAGTCCAACCCCCTGCACTGCAATCCTGCTGTATATGCATACACAAACAACACAAAACACACACATGAATTTGTTACTTGGGATTATTTGGAAACAGGATGAAAGCACATTTCTGTATCCTAGTGACTTGTGTGTTAGAAACTCATTTTGTATGAAGCCTCTCTGAATGTGTAAGTTTTCATGAAAACATTTAAGACATACGGGTAAGTGTATATGGTCCTCTCTCTCCTCTTGAGGGGAATTCCTTGCACAATGAACTCACCCTCAAAGCTTGTTTAAGTGGTTCTGTGACAGGCCTCAGGGCCACTTTAGGTGTTATAGTAGTTACCATGCACCTACGTCTATTTTGTAATGTAATTACATATTTTTTCACCACTAGAAAGCTGTGGAAACAGAGGCATCAGGGACAATGGCTGTGTAAAAAGTGGAAGTGTGCAGGTCCCAAATCAACATGTCAAAGATGCATAAAACAGTGCACTGTGTCCTCTACATGTTTACTATCTAGTGTTTTAATGCCAAGAAACAGCTTTTAGCTTCATTTCTTTTGTGTGGTCTATGCAGCTCTTTGGGGACGTGGGTGGCGCTGTGGTCTAAACCACAGAGCCTAGGGCTTGCCGATTAGAAGGTCGGTGGTTCAAATCCCCACGATGGGGTGAGCTCCCATTGCTCGGTCCCTGCTCCTGCCAACTTAGCAGTTCGAAAGCACCTCAAAGTGCAAGTAGATAAATAGGTACCATTCCAGAGGGAAGGTAAACAGCGTTTCCGTGCGCTGCTCTGGTTTGCCAGAAGCAGCTTAGTCATGCTGGCCACATGACCCGGAAGCTGTACGCTGGCTCCCTCGGCCAGTAAAGCGAGATGAGCACCGCAACCCCAGAGTCATCCGCAACTGGACCTAACAGTCAGGGGTCCCTTTACGTTTATGCAGCTCCTGAGACAAGCACTGTAGTTGTACATTGTCCGAAGTCCTAAGACAGATGTGCAATCAGCACTCAAGTGCAAGCTAGATTACAAGGCCACGGAACCCCTAAACAGTGTATGCCAAATAGTTATTTGCCTTCAACTGTTGGAACAGGTTATGGACCAAAGAAGTCCACCACATCACATATAAGAAAAATGTTCTCGCACAGATTAAGTGAACATTATTTGTATTGCAGTAAAGACTTTTCCATAGGAAATTGCTATCCCATATGGAATCCTGGCAAGCAGAAGGAATGGCACTATTTTCCAGATCTTGCAACAGTGCAGAAATGTATGTGCATAGAAAAGGGGAATAAAAAACCCTCTCAATAAGCAGTTTTCAGTTGAGTTGCTGGCTTAAAATCTCAAGCAGAAAAGGTACATCTATCATGAAATCTCTTTATTTAGATTTATTGGCATATTCAGAAAGTTACTAGAAAATCTTTCTAACCACTTTGCTGAGCTTGTACACCATTTTACCTACTAGTATTTAGATCTAGAGGAAGTTTGAACTTTAGACTTATCCCTTCTTTCCATTGCTTCTGCTCACAGTACTGTGTTTTGAAAAAAATACCGCATTTTTCGCCCCATAGGGCGCACCTTGTTTTTTTTTTTGGGGGGGGGGAATAATGAAGAAAAAATTATTTCCCCCCCACGAAGCCCGGGAATGCAGGCAGCTCTGCCCAACCCTAGGGAGCCCAGCGCGACTTCGAGCCGGGCTCCCTAGGGTTGCGCAGAGCTGAGCAAAGCCCGGGAATGAAGGCAGCTCTGCGCAACCCTCAGGAGACCGGTGCGAAGTCACGCCGGTCTCCCAAGGGTTGCGCAGAGCTTCCTGAAGCCTGGAGAGCAAGAGGGGTCGGTGCGCACCGACCCCTCTCACTCTCCAAGCTTCAGCGAAAGCCTGCATTCACCCCATAGGACGCACACACATTCCCCCTTAATTTTTATTATCGTTCGTGCTCAAATTATATAGACAAATTGTGAATTGTTAAATCATAAAGCTTTTAATCTATGGCCCAAAGCAAGAAACCTGTTTTCCGGTTCAGTGTCAAAGCTGTTCGGCTGAGTAGGCATTCAGTGAGACCAATTCCATTGATGTTCCCTTAATCTTTAGGCACACAGAACTGGCCATTTACCAGACAAGGATAGCAGAGATGGATAATTTAATTGGATTGGAAGAGGGCAGGTGTCCTCTTGTATTAAACAACCTTGAAATATTTTTCATATCTCAAGAAGGCACACATAAATTTCTTTAGAGACCCAATTCTAGCTAAGGTATGAAATGGAGATGGCATATAGAGAGATTCAAAACTATATACATCAACATATGAGCAACCTGAGACTTTACTTTCAAAAACATAAGGAAAGCGATAATTGAAAGCTACATAATCCGGAGAACTTTGCAGGAACAAGAACAAAAGTTAAGCATGAGCCCCATAATCTGAGTAAACTCAAATGTGAAAAGGGCAAGAAATTGTGGATTTCAGAATATGAAAAGGCATCTTTCTGAAGAAAACATTGTGGGAGGAAGACAACCATGGAATAACCACCAGCAATGGCCAGTATGATGGGACAGAGAGCAATAAATGGCTCTTACAGTAATCATGAAGACCTCTTGAACATATTGGTGGTGGAGTCTGGGTAAGCACTATGCAAGCACATCGTTGCTAACTGGAAAGGCATCCATAGTGCAGACATCACTTCTGACATCATCAGATCACACTGGGTGCTGCTGACTAGATACTAGCAGCTGTTTGCATGATGTTGATCCAGCCCCCTTGCCTCCACAGCTGCTTTGGGATGCTAGTAGGTAAGAGCATGGACCCCTCCTTTACCTGGCCTGTTTGCTCAGTGATGCTTGTGGCTGATTCAGTGCCACCTGCCACACCTCTCAGTACATAATCACCTCACACAGGAAAGTGTATGTTTGACAACTCTACTAAAAATAATGGGGCAGCATAGACAGTATGGATAAATCTCAGCCAATGGCTCCAGCTGGATAGCTGCTAAGCCCGTGAATCCACGGTAACACAATATGTCAACAAGGACTTTTTTCTATTTCATCCGGAGGAGAGTCTGCATGCTAGTTAAGCCAACATTATCCAAGCTGGATTTAACAGCATAGGTTCCATTCCAACACAGACCCAAACATGCTAAAGTCTGTGTTGGATTGTAGCCAAAGTATACAACTAGTCACGGCTTGCTATGGGTGCATAGTATTCAATGGTGGTCCAACTATTATTGTTAGTTGATCAACCATAACTTATTCTATGCGGAGTTTTTATTTATTGTGAGTGATTTGCTTTAAACTCCTCACATGAAAGCAACTGTTGAAAGATCAAGACATTTGAGTAGGAAGATTCATAATGTTGTTTTGCTTGACGATCCAGCCAAATGTTATTCGCTCCAACAACATTTAATAATTTGAAGAATGCTGAGTGAACCAAATTATGGGGTAAGATGCTTTGTATTTTCCTAGCTGCTTGCATTTTGTCAAGTCTAAAGATGTTATTTTTCCCCACTCTGAAATGCTGCACACATTATTTTTGATAGCTCGCCAGGTTCAAAAGCCAAAACACTCCTCACCTATGGAAAACAAAATCAAAATAACCAATGAAAAGGACAGATTATCAGACATGAGTTACTATGAGAGAATGGAACACCTGCATCGGGTCTGCAAAAAGCACATGGAATTTTCCAGCAATCCAGCTGTCCAACAAAATCAAAAGGCAAGAAAGTGTCAGCAAGTTTAAAAACTGTAACTTTGTTAAACAGGTAATGGACAGTATGAATATCCCTTAAAGCAACACTGTGGGGCAAAAGAATAAGTTCATGATGTCATGTCTCTACCCTTCTAGTTCCTACAAAGTTATGTTTTTAGCAGGGCGATCCTGTGTTTGCTCACTTTGAAGGAAACCTCATTGTGGTAATTTTGTTCAGTGTGCATAAGACTGCAATAAAGAGATGTGCAGCAAGCTTACAAGCAACCACTAGCCCTGTCACAACAGCCATCCAAGTTATTTCATTTAGTCTTTCTAGTGGATTTAGCCTTCATTTGCAGCATTCACAATTCCGGCTACAGCGCAAATTCTCAGATATGTTTAGGACAATAATTTCTTGCCCATAATGAACAAACAAGGCCTGGGACGCTGTTCCTGATATCTTCCTGACACGAGAAGATGCATCTATGTAGATAACCTTCAGTTGCAGCTAGATATGCCCTTAGATATAAGTAGAGATAAGCAAATCTGTGAATTTCAGTTTCCTTCAGATTCTCATTTTCCCAGTCTTGTTTCACATTTCCACATCAGTTTGCAAATCTTCTTTTTCAAAAGGCGTTGTGAAAATTCAGCAGCATTTTAGTGCAAATTTATTTCAATATACATATTTTTATATGCAGTTTTGCTTAAGCGATTTCTCTATATTATAATGCCTTTTTAATGCTGTTTTCATTATGATACTTTGTGCCTTCGAAAACGTCTTGCGAGTCTTGCCATTTCCCTCCCGCTTTCCCCCCCTTTTTCAAAGCCGCTAAGCCGTTAATAGCCTTTTAACAGCTTAGCCGCTAGGCCTTTTAATAGCCGCTAAGCCGCTAATAGCGCTAATCCGCTTAGCCACTAATGGGGTTGCTTCGCAAGACGAAAAAACCGCTAGACGAAGAGAATCGCGGAACAGATTCTTTTCGTCTTGCGAGGCACCACTGTACACTATTTTGTGCACAGTTTATTCAAATATATGCATTTTGTACACATTCCTTGCCAAAATTTTGAGCATTGCAAATTTTGAAGGATGGCTGTGTTTCAGTTTGTGTATTGTTTCAGAAAGTGTGAATGAGGTAGGTTTGCCTTTAAGCATGAACTGAATCAAATTTCTCCCCATCCTTAGGTGTGACTACAGTAGCACCTGTCTAATGCATAAATCATATATACAAACATGCGCACTTGTCAGCTTGCTTGCACAACTGGCTGTTTGCATCTTATGAAATATAATGTTGAAATGCTAGACATCAACTATAAAACACATTCTCTCTCCCCTCCCCTCCCTCTGAGAGTAATTCAGGAAGGGGAGTTACTGCAGAAGTCAAGAGTGGGACTTGGGAAGAGCACACCTTCAAAGAAGCAACTCCTGGGTCCTTAGAACCCCTTCATATATCACATGGTAGTATTTTCTAATTGTATTACCTCGTGTTAGGTTTCAGGTTTTCTACAGTAGAATGAGTTTGATTTGTCGTTATAATAGTCTTGTCCTTTCCTGCAGGGCTTCCATTTTCAGTCGATACAACTCTATATTCTGAAATGATGAAGAAGATTTGTGTTCTGTTATCCTGTCAGTTTCATTTGTTTCCTTTAATCTCCTGGAGTGAATCAGAAACAGTAATAGAACAAAGCAAACAACATTCGGAATGTCAAAGTGCCAGCCCAGAACAGGGAGATCAAATGAGAGCTTGTGTAGGAAACTCAGTGACTTGACCTTTGGGAGAAAGAGAGATGTGTCTGGTGTGACACATTCCCTCAAGCAAGAACTACAAATCCCAGAGTTCCTGCAGACACTTCCTATGCACAAGGAGGAGAACCTACGCAGGGTTGGAATTCAAGTGGTGTCATAACCATAATCTGAGACTAAGATCTTAGGGACAATACTGCAGATCTCCAGACTCCACCCCTCTTAACTCCTTTGTATGTTAATGGTGTCTTGATTAGTCTTTGTTGTTTCTGTTTATTTGAAAACTGAATACAAATTATCCCCAAACCGAACAATCCTGACATTATATGCAAGGGATGGAAAGCACAATCTAAAGGACATTAGTTAGTGTACCAGCAAGATGAGCAGGATAATAATAAAGGGAGTGGATGGCGCTGTGGTCTAAACCACTGAGCCTCTTGGGCTCACCAATTGAAAGGTCAGGTTACAGATAGGTAGCTGTGTTGGTCTGCCATAGTCAAAACAAAAAAATTCCTTCCAGTAGTATCTGAAGAAGTGTGCATGCACACGAAAGCTCATACCAAGAACTAACTTAGTTGGTCTTTAAGGTGCTACTGGAAGGAATTTTTTTGTTTTGAAAGGTCAGGGTGAGCAATAATAATAATAATAATAATAATAATAATAATAATAATAATAATAATAATAATATACATGTCATTCAGGAGCCTAAGTAACACCTCTAGTTTTTAGAACCAGGCAAGAATAGCTGTGGGGGAAAGTGCAGGCTAGTAAAGAAAGACTAGCAATATTGTTCAGGCTCTAAACTTTAAGAGAACCAAAGTCTAACCTGTAACAGTTTCATTTGGTGGTTTTTCCCAATCCAGTACGACAAAGGTTGGGCAGCCTTCGACAGTTACCACAGTGAGGTTGGTAGGAGGCTTTCGTGGAGGGCTAGTAGGTACCTCTGTGCTGTCCCCCTCTTCCGTTGGAAAGTATTGGAGCGTGTCTGTGATGGAGCATGGCACATCTTCTGGTTTCTTTATATACAACACACCTTCACCTAGAAAAATAGCATCTGTGTTAAGGTGCTTTAAAAAAAATATCCAAGTAGCAAATGTGGTGGTAAAATTGCCAGAACTGGACCTTTTCAGGTGGTAGGGCACACAGCTGAATGCTTCTCCATTAAAAAAACCTGAAATTAAGTTAGCATGTCAGATATCTCTCCTGATATCGATTTTTAAGGTTCTTGGTTTTTTTAAAAAATATAGTTATGTAAGTGATGATCAGCTGCATGAAAAGTTTTGTAGAAGCCTGAGACCCTTGAAAGTGTTTTGGAGAGGACTGTTATTCTGATGACTATTTTATTATTAGGCTTTTCATTATGTTTTATCATTAATGTTCTGTAATGTGTTTTATGGTGCTGGAGGAGACTCTTGAGAGTCCCATGGACTGCAAGAAGATCAAACGTATCCATTCTTAAGGAAATCAGCCCTGAGTGCTCACTGGAAGGACAGACCCTGAAGCTGAGGCTCCAATACTTTGGCCACCTCATGAGAAGAGAAGACTCCCTGGAAAAGACCCTGATGTTGGGAAAGATGGAGGGCACAAGAAGAAGGGGACGACAGAGGACGAGATGGTTGGACAGTGTCCTCGAAGCTACCAGCATGAGTTTGACCAAACTGCGGGAGGCAGTGGAAGACAGGCGTACCTGGAGTGCTCTGGTCCATGGGGCCATGAAGAGTCGGACACGACTAAACAACAGCAACAAATGTGTTTTAATGTTGTACACTGCCCTGGGATCTTTTGATAAAGGGAGGTATACAAATTGAATAAGTCATCAGCAAAAAGCTGCACACTGAACATCAGGAGCTGCAGGGATTAAGCTCGTGAGAGGGAGAATGATTAAAAGAGCTTTTAATTTGGGAACTTGGACGATGAGCAAAAATAATTAATATGGTTAAATATCATTTTCACAATCTGACATTACTGCAGCTATTTTAGACATACCTGTGAACCTTCGTTTGCCAGAAGCATCAGTATCTGATGTAGGCTGTGAATTGAACAAAGTTCTATTACCTAAGGAGAGGAAAACCACAACACAATTTTAATAAAAGCACTCCTTTGTAAAGTTGAAATGGCACTTCATATTTCATCTCTCATTTTAACCTTCAATCCACTCCTTAGTGCCTGTTTGGAATCATGTTCACTTTCTATTAGGAGTGAGCTGAATTTGGCTGTGATGGAAAATAAAAGCCTCTTTGCACTGCCAAAACAAAGATAATCATAAAATAAATGGCTGAGCTCATTATTGCTGTTGGAGTCACTTCATGCATAATATACAAAACCCTCTCTGAATTTCTAAAAAAGATTCTTTTATGTTTTGCTGATGCTCCAGTCCTTAGGGAGGCACATGAGTTTTGTACTTAGCAACACTTTTAAAAAGGTGGAAGGGAAACCTGAGCCAATTCCCCTTTCCATAGCATGCCATGTTCTTTAATGCCCTGGAAGTTGAGTTGACCCCTGGAGCACAGCAGAGGAAAAGCATAGTTGCTACCAGGAACATATAAGGTTTCTTTTTTGCTTTGCTTTGCTTTAATGATGCATTAGTGCAGATATCCACTGTAGGTTTCTTGTCATCCGATGAATCTTGGAGATCACAGCCCATCAGACAACACTTTTCTAAGTGCCCCTTCACTGCCCAGACTATAGTTTACAGCTGTAATATTTCCAAAGAACTAAGCATAAACTAGCATACACTGTTGTGTCTATAGTACTGAGGTTTCCTCCATCTCACCTGCTTATTCTGCACTCTTTCAACCATGTTGTAACTCTTGCTATCTGCAGTATTACTATGTGGGATTTGATAGGTTGGTGCAAGATGTGTGAGCTATAACTCCAATGCGTATATCATACTCTCTGACATTTCTCTGATGAAAATAGGGATGTCCCATTCAATAATGATAATTTTATTATTTATACCCCACACATCTGACTGGGTTGCCCCAGCAACTCTGGGCAGCTTCCAACATATATATAAACATGATAAAACATTACACATTAAAAAAAAAACTTCCCTGTACAGGATTGCCTTCAGACAGCTTGGGAGTCAGATAACTCCATACCCTCCAACATTTCTCCAATGAATAGGACATTCTCTAAGGAAAAGTGGGACATTCTGGGATAAAATTAGAAACCAGGACGGCTTCTGTAAATTAAGGATGTCCCTGGAACATAGGGACATTTGGAGGGTCTGATATATATTTGGAACGAAGTGACATTACTTGTACTGCTAAAACTGCTATTGGTGCTGCTGGAATATTAACCTATGATTTACGCTGCTGATTTGACATAATAAAAATAGCCAGAGAAAACTGCCTCTCTCCATATGAACCTACCCAGATCCCGTGATCACCAGGTGGGGCTTTTCTATGTGCGCCTCCTCCACAAAAGATCTGGAGGGTGGCGACACAAGAACAGGTCTTTTCTGAAGTGGATCTCTGTTTGTGAATGCTCTCCCCAGGGAGGATCAGCTGGCACTTTCATTATACACCTTTAGGCACCAAGCGAAAACATTCTTCTTCAACCAGGCATTTGCCCGAGTAACACCCTATACCTTTTGAAATGTGTTTGTGGTTAGGGGAGGGGGTCATTGTTTTGTTTTGTTCTTCTTTTTATTATGTATTTTGTATACAAGATTTTATATATCTTGTATTTTTATGTTGTGATTACCCTGAGATCTACAGATGATGGGCTGTAAACAAATTTAATCCACAACAACAATAATAACCTACAAATGTACACCTAAAATTCTTACTATAATCTGGAGATGATGATGCTGTAGGGGGTTTTTTATGTGAGCTTGTTTTCCCATGAGCTGCTGGCCCTGTAGGCTTTGCTGTGGAAGATGAAGAGGCTCGTGGCATCAAGACATTTCCTATTGGAAAATAGAAACAAATCTGAATGTCCACTTAGAATTAATGTAGCATTGATTCTAAATAAAACATTTCACAGCCCATTGAAGAAATTCAACTTTTTAAGTAATCTTCTTGCTTGATTCTAGAGATGTATAAGCAGATACGAATTCTTATGTCAGCTTCAAGTGATAAAATGATTTAGATATAAATTTACTTTTATATATTGCATATCTATGCAACTTTCTGTGGTTTTTTTCTTGGTTCATTTGTGCCATACTCTTATGTGTTGAAAGGGATAAATGGATAAACAATGGTAGACTGGATCAGGCTCAGCTAAGAGAGGGAAAGAGAGAGATCCAGACATGTATTAAAGTATTTTCAAAGCACCTTTCACCCCCAAAGAATCCTGGGAACTGTAGTTTATTAAGGGTGCTAGAAATGGTAGCTTTGTGAAGGTAAAGGCTCCAGTTTCCAGAACTTTGGGAAGGAAGACATGTGCTTAAATTATGAATCAAATAGGCTTTAATTATATAGTGTGGGTCTGCCAAAAGGCATAAATTGACATAAACACAGGCATAAATGCTGTCTCTATCCATGCTTAATAGCTTTCAGTGGAATTTTCATATTTAATGTGCATCTCCATCCACATTCTGGGAGATTGAGGAAAACAATTAAAATATCTTTTGTAAATCCCTAACTGGCTTCCTTTCTTCTCTTCAATCCAGACAAACTCCTTCCCTGACCATTCCTGCTATGTCTGTTCTCTTCCATTCCAATGCATCTCTGCCCATGGTCTTTTGCTTGGCTTCCTCTAAGGACAAAAGCCTTTCTCAGCTGCTGCCCCTCCTGCCTTGAATTGCCTTCCAGAACACCTGTGTGATGCCACCTCTCTAACAGTCTTTGAATTTCCCCTCAGGACCCATCTTTTCCGTGAAGCTTTTGAAACCATGCCCTCACCTCCATAGCCTACTGCAACTAAAATTAAATTAAACTTAAGTATAGGTTTCTGAAATATATGCACTCTTCCCTCATTGAGGCTTGCCTTTATTTATTTTCCCACTTCTGAGCTAAATTATCAATGGAAAAAATTAGTTACGATGAGAAATCTAATTTCTTCCTCCCATTAAAAATGGGAGACAATTACAAACTGTTATTCCTGTCCTGTAATTCGGTGAGCATTGGAGAAATGTTGGCAGAATTTATCCAAACTAGAGAGACTTAATTCTTTTAGAAAATTCAAAGAAGGTTGCTTGTTATTTGTTATTACAAGTACTTTTCTGTATACTCAAAAGAACCGAAGTTCTGCTTAAAAAGCTGTTTGGCACTTTTCATTGTTGAAGATGGATGCGGGGATATATTAACAGTTATGCCCTGCCAGTAAACATTCAGAAGCTTGCAGCAGGTTTATTAACACGTCTGATTACTCCTTCCATTTTAAGTGATTAATGATATCATGCCACATAGGGCACAAACAAAGCACTTTTACATAATGCTGGAAAGAAAAATGAGATGGTTTGAAAGGTAAAATTAAAGCAGTCTATTATTTTTATTATAATTATTTAAAAACCCTCCTTACACAAAATTATGCTGAGTCTTGAAATACCCTATCTTAAAAAAGTATGAAATCCCCATATTAATAGGTTTTCTTTTTCTCCTCTAGAATTTACTATACAGATAGCTTCCAGTTCATATGTAAACTGTCTTCAGTTTTAGGGAAAAAGGAAATATAAAAAGGTATCAGCAGTTTAGTATCTTACATTCAGATGAAATTTAATGAGAATGTAAAAAAACAACAACAACAACTGGGGACATGTTAAAACACCATTTTTTGTGGAATGCCATTATCCAAGACCCCCTTCACATATGCTATAGTTGTGAAGACTCCATACAGATTCTCTACTGCACACGTGGTTAGTTCTCTGCAATGTTCATAGAAGAAACTAAGAAAGCCCTGGGGCATTTAGAACTCCATGCATACATCAGAACCACTAAATGCAGTCAATTCATCTTCATGTGAACACTGAACTATGTTCTATGGTAATATCCCAGGTGGTTTTGTGTGTGTGTGTGCAGGTGTGTGCATATCACAAACACATGGACAAGGTTGATCATGTAAATCTTCTGGCTTAATTGCTGCTGTACCTGGAAAGAACCCAGATCTTGTACTATAGTATGCAATGGAACATCAACCTAGAAAACCAGCTCCTTTCCTTTCTTGGGATAACTGCGGCTTATACTCAAGACTGGGACTTTTAATCATTCCCAGGGTAGCTGTAAAAACATTATCATAGTTCAGAATGAATGCAAAAGAACCCTTCTTGTCTGGATACCTCTGACACATTCTGTAATTGTAACTGATTCAACACTGAGAAAAACAGAGTTTGTTAGAAACAAATTACAAAAGCCTCATGAGATGTAAGCAAGTGCTTGAGCATATGAAAAAAAAAGCAAGATTTCTGGATTATGCCCACGGTCAAAAACATTTATTTGCCCAGGTATTTGGCTTGACTCAATTGTTGCTGTTGGAGATGAGCCCAGCCCTTGCTGGACTTGCTAATTTGTTGTTTGTTTCAACAACATTTTTAGAAGGTTATATTAATTTATAATGTAGTTTTATGCATGGTGTTTAATATATTGCACCCTGCCTTGAAACTGAATTTAGTGAAGAGTGGCCTAGAAGTGCCTTAAATAAAATAATGAATGAATGAATGAATGTAGAACAACTGCCTCATGAGACAACATACCTGAACCTCCAGGTTTACCGGTCACCGTGTTTGGTGGCAAAGGTTTTCTTCGCATTGGTGTAGGCTTGGCAGGAGCTAAGGGAGGTCGCGGAGAGTCAGGTGGTGTAGCTACTGTATAACGTTACAAGACACCACTGTTAACGGAGGAACCGCACACCACGTAATCAGAAAGAGAAAAATGGCTAATAGCTACACTTCTCAAGCAAAATTTTAAGGCATGAGCTTCAGCGATAAGAACTGCAAAAGAACACAAAACACAAGACAGGGAATAGCTGAAAGGAGTTATTTTGAGCTTTTACATTTCTTGCATGAAAATATGCATGCTTCCAGCATCAGACCAAAACAACAGCACAGCAAGGCAGCTAAGCTAGTTCATAAAAATGTATGCCCCCTGTTCAGTTGAGAACCCTTCTTTCATGACCTTACATCGATAGAAAACAGAATTAAGTGGCGTTGACAAGCCAGTTAGGTAAAGGTGAGCACAACACCCATTGATTTCTTGCAATAAGGCTATTGCCACTGATGCAAAAATATGGCACTAATATAACACTGGTATTGGTCAAAGGAATAGAATCAGACACCCCTGATCTCTCCTAAAACTAGAGGGGGAAATTTTAGAGCAGAAGCCGCAGCTCTTCCCACATCAAGTTCAGATGATGGCCCTAGTGGGAGAGCGGTGATCTTCAGAAATCCACTGTAAATTAATGAGAATCATAGAATTGTGGAGTTGGAAGGGATCCTGCCAAAAGCATTTGACCCATCCATGTGTTGGCCGGTGAAGGGAGGAAGGCTCGACACACAGCTCTTAAAAAGTAAGTTGCCCATGCTAACACAGGATATATTCCTAGGTTTGGAATGTAAGGGCTCTCTAGATACAATGCAGGTGGACTGTATAATATTAGCTGGGTATACTCTGATTTCAGAACTATTATAATGGATACTATGAAAAGTCAGTTGATGGATAATTTAATTCCATTTGTGCTCTAGGTGCCTATCTGTTAAATGTTGCAATTGTTATGTTATTTAACTTGGTGTCAAGACTGCAGTAACCAGCCCTTTTATGTTCACATAAATTAAAGCCCACTGTCCTTTACAGGGTTAAAAGCATTCTGTAGTTTATATTTTTAAAGCTTTTCTTTCCATGCATTCTTTCCAAGATTTAATTAATGCTAGATAGAATTTGAAGGGAGAAACTTTCAAAAACATCAGTATAACAAGCTCATGCATAGCTTCAGAGAGGTTGTAGTACGTGAATTGAAGACCAGCAAACAGAGATGCCAAAGCAGCACTGAGCAGTATGGACTACTGTGATGAATGCAAATTATTATCATGTATACATTCTTTTCAACAGGAGCACACAGATTCCCAAGATGATTATCAATCATTCCCTCTAAATAGAAAGTAATTTAAACGTCAGTTATATGCACACTTACTGGAAAGCAAGTTCCATTGGGACTCGGTGGGGTTTGCTTTCAGGTTATCAAGTTTAAGACTGGGCCGTTAATTTATTAACTGAATTTTTCTACTTGTTAGACGTGTCTTCAATGCTAAAAACAGTGAGCAGCATTCCATTTGTGGAATGGGGATTCCCTGCCTCCTCATTTTCTCTGCTGCTCCTGGCATCTCTTAGAAAAGGCATAGGCAAATTTCAACCCTCCAAATGTTTTTGAGACTACAATTCCCATTATCCCTGACCACTGGTCCTGTTAGCCAGGGATGATGGGAGTTATAGTTCCAAAACATCTGGAGGGCCGGAGTTTGCCTATGCCTGTCTTAGAAAACAGCTCCAACAGACTGGACATGAACACATCTGTCAGTTCCAGTTGCTCTCATTCTCTCACTTCAGTTCTTCATCAGTTTGTGAATTTTTTAAAAAAATAAAAAGGTATCACTTTTGCAAGCAATTTCCCCTCATTTAATGTATTTCATGGCATTTTTGTTTGTGGAATGCTCTCTCCAGGGAGGTTTGTCTGGCACCTTCATTATATATCTTTAGGTGCCAGGCAAAAATGTTCTCTTCAATCAGGTCTTTTAAATAAAATACAGCCTTTTAAATATGTTTGTGGGAGGGGTGGTTATTGTTTTGTTGTTTTCACCTTGTAATTCAATCTTGTGAACAGCCCTGAGATCCTATAATGAAGTGCTGTATGTAAGACTAATAAATAATTAAATTAAATTAATTAAATAAATACTGTAATTTCCCGTTTTTTAAGTTTAAAATTGGAGGTCATCTTATACACGGAATGTTGCAATTAATTATTTCTTAATTTGGGGCTCAAAAAATAGGGGTCAACTTATAAATGGGGGTGTCTTATACACAAAAAAATATGGTACTCACTAGCATATCCATTTTTATGCACTTTCCCCCAATATACCAATTTTTGTACAACTATGCTGGCTGTTTAGCCATAACAATAAACATTCATTCATTTTTGTACATATTACCGTATTTTTCACTCTATAACACGCACCCGACCATAACACGCACATAGTTTTTAGAGGAGGAAAATCCATAGGCATGCCACCCGTAGGCATTCCCTCCATAACACACACAGACATTTCCCCTTACTTTTTAAGAGGAAAAAAGTGTGTTATGGTGCAAAAAATACGGTATTTGGTTGCAGAACCGCATCAGAAATTTCAGAAAAGTGAAAAATTCAAAGGAATTCAGTATTTTGATTTGCTTATTATTTTGGAACCTGTGGAGGCAGGTTCACATTAAGATCCTAAACAAACCAAATTGTCTTCTCCACCCATACTGGGGATTGGAGGAACCTGATGAAACCTGGGCAGCAGGAGCAAGAAAAATGGCCAGGAACCCGAGATTGCCTTTTACACAAGCAAAAGTGCCCTCCATTTGCTTAAGTTCTCAAATAAATCCAAGCCAAAATGCATTTTTACATCGTTGGAAATATATCATTTCAATATGCTTAATGCACAGTATAATGTGTAGGATAACAGTGACACTTCAGGCTTTGATAACAGAGACTTTTTATTAATTCATCCATGGAATAGTTAACAACGTATTTCCTTCCTTGTCCTGTAGTCTCTTCATAGAGTGACTGGACAAAGTGTGTTTATGTCCTTTTCTAGTATTGGGTTCCCAGTTATGCACTTTGATTTGTATCCATTCCCTCCTGAAGGCTTCAGTGGGATAACAAGGGTGATATTCCAATGCCCCCAACTTTAGGACCTAGATACTCTCCTCAGCTAATGAACGCCAGTGGGAAAGAGGACAAGTGACATGTTTTATTAAAAATGCTTTTAATATATAATGGTTTAAATTAAAATGGGAAATCATTTCCAGTAAATGTTGCTGGGCATAGTAATAGAAGATTCTTTACTTACCAGGGTCTGGTTTCTTTCTTGCGACTGAGGAATGCACTGATGTGTTTGAACCCGTACTAGAGCTTGTACTAAGAAGCCTAGCAGCATCCTGGTCTATTAGTTTGTCGCCTGTGAAATAACATTAAAAAATGCATATGTCATATTGCACATGTTCAAAGAAACACAAGGGATTTCCTCCAGACATCTGGTGAAATGCCCAAGGTCAGTGGATCTGGTAAAAAATCCAGTGACCATACTACACATTCATTCCTGTAAATCCATAATTTTAATAATTTAAGAGGTGGGTGAAGGACTTTTAACAATTTCTACATTTGGCCTTCGCTGTTAAACCCTCACATGAAAATCCAGATTATAGGAAATATTTAATTCATTTATAGCCATTGTCCAGATGAAATATGGGGGGGGGATTCAAACACATGGCTTATCACTATTTTAATACCCTTTATGAATATTAGAGATTTCTTACAAAAACTGCATGGTCCTTACAAGAGTTGACCAAGGCTGTCCCATGTTTGAATAGCTGACTTCCTCCAAAGTCCATGAAAATAAAATTATCATGTCTATTACACTTATGAATTTGTCTTCTCTTGGCCTACCACTTAATAACCACATTGCTTCTGAATGATCCAATTCTTTGATGCCTCAACCAATATAAGCAGCCTCATGTGATTGCGTATTTGATTTGTTGTTTGGAAAATGTTTTGTGGCGAAATAGTCTTTGAATTGGCAAGGGTTATTACTGAATGGCAGCAGTACATAAAAAGTCTACATAAAGGTCACTACCCAAATTGTTAAGCAGAAACAGTTACTACATTTCAGATATTGGAATAATTTACTGAACACAGTTTGAAAGAAACTGTAAAACTCAAACTTGACCTACATAACGCAGATTATCTTTATTAGTTCACCATATAATGTGCAGAATCCAATGTTGTGCATGGAGTTTTCCACTTGCACACCAGAACTTCTTCTTTCCTCTCCTCCCCACTTATCATCAGCCCTGCACAGCCTCAGAATCTGCTCCTGACAGTCCTCCACCTCAAGTAGATTTTGGGAGCCCACAGAGGACTGTACTGGGGATCAGGGTCAATACATTCCATCATCCAGACAATTCACTTGGAGATTATTGCTACACCTCCATAACCTAAACACATCATTTCAAAATAATTTAAATCAAACTTTCTCTCAGGTATGTGTGTTTAGGATTCCAGCTAATACACTACCCTTTTAGCTGCATAAACATCATGCAAATATTAATTATATCACCTTTCTACCTTCCTTTTCAGCTGTTTTGTAGGCAGTTCAATATGAAAGCCCAAACAGAAATATGCAAAACACAATGGAATCCTAAGGATGTTTACTCTGAAGAAAATTCCATTGAATTAAGTGGAGTTTGGTCCCAGGTACGCGGGTGGAGCTGTGGGTTAAACCACAGAGCCTAGGGCTTGCCGATCAGAAGGTCAGCGGTTCGAATCCCTGCGACGGGGTGAGCTCCCGTTGCTCGGTCCCAGCTCCTGCCAACCTAGCAGTTCGAAAGCACGTCAAAGTGCAAGTAGATAAATAGGTACCGCTCCGGTGGGAAGGTAAACAGCATTTCTGTGCGCTGCTCTGGTTCGCCAGAAGCGACTTAGTCATGCTGGCCACATGACCCGGAAGCTGTACGCCGGCTTCCTCGGCCAATAAAGCGAGATGAGCTGGACCTAATGGTCAGGGGTCCCTTTACCTTTAAGTGTACATATAATTGAAGTGCTAAATGTCTTTCAAAAGAAATTAAATATGCAACTGATAAATAATTTGTTGCTCATCCTGGGCACAAACAATATTTATATTTAAACCTTAACAATAATAACCATTATAATGAAAACCACTGTTACCTTTTGGTACTTTATCCCACGTCAAGCCTCCAGATGTTCTTGTTCTGCCAGGGGCTGGTGTTGTTTTACCAACAACTGAAAAGAAATTGCAAAGAAAAGTAAAATCAATAGAAGGTAATGATACATTTATTTCCACTGCCGACTATTTCTAGCAGGGAGCTGAGGTTATGGTTTTATAGCTGTTAGTTTCCCTGTTTTTGTAAAAATCTGAAAAATGAAAAATAACATTTATCAGGAAATATCAGAAAGGTAAATACTGATCATACATGTGTGTTCCTCCACTAACTTTGCTGCTCAAAAAATGACTAACAATGCAAATACAGATAACTGCAAAAACAAGTTCTTTTCAAGGCACATTTTACTTGAAGTATCTGGACAACAGATTATTATTATTTATACATTAAATAATAATGGCAATCGGCATTCTGCACAGAATTTTGCTTGATGGTTGCCATTAATTTGATTTTAATTTGATTTAATTAATTTTATAATGAATGTTTTTAGAATGTCGGACTATTTTGATTGTTGTTAGCCGCCCTGAGCCCAGCTTCGGCTGGGGAGGGCGGGATATAAATAAAATTTATTATTATTATTATTAAATGTATATTAAATCAGTAATGATGTATGGATAAAATTATGTATTTTAATATTGAATTAAATTACCATTGGAGACCCTCCAAAAATTGGACTAGAACTTTTTGTAAATGCGATCAGCCCCAATATCTGGACTATCTCAGAATATGCAGGTTAGAATTGCAAAACAATGCTTCAGTCTTTTGTAGCGATTAGCATCTAAGCCAAGTCAAAGTAATAAAAGAAGTAATACTATCCTAATACAACAATTAATAAACAAACAAACAAACAGTCAGAACTGGAATCTTACTCTATGGAAAAAGGCTGCAAAAAGCTTTTTCGGAAATAAACTTTAACATGTGCTTCCCTCAAAACTTAGGAAACAAAATTGCTGGTATGTACTGCTTAGATATTGGGCTGTGAGTAACAATACGGATCTGTAAGCATTTGACCAACTTTTTTAAAAATCCAAAAAGCAATATATTACCAGGTCTGGTCTGTGACTTATCAGTCATCTTGGGTTTTGCAGTAGTGAAGTATACTTTATGTGGTGCTCCTAGAAGGAAAACAAAACTAGTTTAATTTCTAAGGATATGAAGCACAGTAAAGATAACATGCAGCGTAAGAGATGATCCAGGTACTGCAACTAAAGGCAAAATAGGAGTCTGTTATGTTAAAAAAAGTCTAGCATGATCTAAAATCTGTTTTAGAGGATTATGCAAGCTTACAAAGCATTTATATAACCAAATCCACAATTTCTGCTATTTCAGCAATTATCCCAACATTTGACATTTGATTTTTTTAAAAAACAAAACAAAAAAAACCCCCTCAGGTGTTATCTCAAGACATCACTCACCCTACCAAGATAAATTCTGTGGTCCTTATCATAATTTTATATGATACATAAATGTTGATACTATAATGTAGCAGCTAAGGTATAGGTAAAATAATTCAAACCCCACTTTGGGAGTTGAGCACAACAGATCCACAGCCAAAACTGAAACCCATAGAATGGTTGAAGGGTTTGTTTGTTTTCATTTTTATTGTCAGCAATGGCTTTGTCCACTTTTATTTTATTGTCAGCATGCAGCCCCTAACAGATTATCTTTGAGGTCCCAAATTTGGGGATCGCAGCCTTCAGTAGAAAAATAGTTGCCGCCCCTCTCCTAACCTGTGAGCTTGCACTTAGAAGGTTGAGCATGTTGATGGAGGAAGAAGAGGGAAGAGTTATCTCTGTTACAATCAAATGTTCAAAAAGTAGTTTTTGGAGGGTTAAAATGTGTGTACAGTCATACCTAGAGTTGAATGTGCTTTGGGTTGAGCGCATTTGAGTTGCGCTCCGCGGCAACCCGGAAGTAATGGAGCGCGATACTTCCAGGTTTTACTGCTCGCGCAGACACTCAAAATGGTGTCACGCACATGCGCGGTAGCAGTGAAACGCGACCCACGCACGCGCAGACATGCCGTCGCGTCTTGCGTTCCATTCGGGATGTGAACGGGGCTCCGGAATGGATCCGGTTCGCATCCCAAGGTACCACTGTATTATTATAATACAACGAATGGGAAATATATGGTTAACATTCAGGAGCTACTTAGCAAACACTCAAAATACTGAATTATTTCAAATGAAACAGCATCAAATAAACAAGATTACCAGTTTTCAAATGTGGACTTTCAGTTGCTGTTACACCTCTGTAGGGCTTGGATGAGGCTAAAAAGAAAACATCTGAATTAGTGTACACAGTGTCTTCTCTAAATGGAATGCTATGGATTTCAAACAAAAAGTAGACCCTTTTCCAAAGCAGCGCAGAAATTAAAATGCTCGTTGCTGGAAATCTGGTAGGAAGGCATTATTTATTTTTATTCATTTACCAACATATTTATACTGCTTGATTGTAAGAAAACCTTTAAGCCATTTACAAAGTCATGAATTCATAGATGATGGGAATTTTGAGACCAGGAGAAAATTCAGCATTAACAGACTGAGACTGAGAAACAGAATGATGAGGTAGTGTTTTGATGACAATCAAGGCTAATGCATGAGGTGGTTGTTTCTAAATGGAACAGCTAAGAAGCTGGCCTGGAAGCAATTTAAGACATAAATCAAGCAAGTTAACATTGTTCCCCCTGCCCCAACCCCAGCATAAACCTGTAGGAAAGGTAAAGAAATAATTTCAGCCAAGGAAGAAAATATAAAATAAATATTACCCAAAGTATCTTTGGAGCCATCGAAAACATGAATGTGGAGATTAATTGACCCCAGGTCCGTTGCAATTGGTGCTACAGAGAACAACATAGGATTGCCAACTGAGATTAGGGCATAGCTTGTCTGAGTCACACATGAGATGAGAACAAGCATGAGTCTTTATTTTGTTTTAGAACAATAAGACACAATATGTTATTTTCTTGCAGGAGAGACATATTACAAAGTAACATTTGATATTTTTATTAAGTCTGTAATTAGGTACATTGTATGCTTCCTGGGAAATGTTGGGAAAGATTGAGGGCACAAGGAGAAGGGGACGACAGAGGACGAGATGGTTGGACAGTGTTCTCGAAGCTACCAGTATGAGTTTGACCAAACTGCGGGAGGCAGTGGAAGACAGAAGTGCCTGCCGTGCTCTGGTCCACGGGGCAACGAAGAGTCAGACATGACTAAACGACTAAACAACAACATGCCTCCTGGGCAGATATTAAGACTAAAGGAATAGCTATTTATATTAAACCTACCTATGTCTCTCTGCCCACAGGTAGCGCTGTGGTCTAAACCACTGAGCCTAGGGCTTGCTGATCGGAAGGTCGGCGGTTTGAATCCCCACGATGGGCTGAGCTCCTGCTGCTCTGTCCCTGCTCCTGCCCACCTAGCAGTTCGAAAGCACGTCAAAGTGCAAGTAGATAAATAGGTACTGCTCTGGCTGGAAGGTAAACGGTGTTTCCGTGTGCTGCTCTGGTTTCGCCAGAAGCGGCTTAGTCATGCTGGCCACATGACCCGGAAAAATTGTCTGCAGACAAATGCCAGCTCCCTCGGCCAGTAAACCTCCTACCTCTGCCCCAACCTCCTACCACATCTACTCCATAAAGCCCCACCATGATAGAGGGTGGTGGGATCACACCCTGAATATGTTTCTCTTAAAGAACCCAAAGCTAAATCAATATAAAAAGACGTAATTAATAACCCACTCCAACAAATAAAGAAGTTAAAACATGTACTAATACTTGGGATCCTGCTAAAACTTTAAAAAGATGATGTTATGTAAGTTCATATGTGGATTTAGCCAGCTGCAAAGTTTTAAAAAGTCACGTTATGTTACGTTATCTCATGTGGGATCCTTCTGCCTGTCTCCTCTCATGGAAGGAGACAACACAGGAATCCAATTGCTCCTTTGCTACTCTGTCAGTATTTCCCAAGGAGCGAGGCAGAGAGAGGGAAGGCCAGCCCTCTCCCTACCACTGTTTTCTGACATTACTATTTACTGAACAGAGAACAAACACAGCAATGGATACTGAAGCAACATATACAATGATAAAACTGAAATCTCCATCTGTTTTGGATTCTAGGAGCAGACCAGTGCAGACTTACATCTAGTTTTTGGGGGGGTTGTTGTTTTAATTCAGCTTTCAGTCTATTTCTATTACAATTCACAACATATTGAAAAAAGATGCGACTAATATACTCCAAGATACCACATGTGCTAAGTCTAAAAGCACAATGACACCATTTTCAAAGTCTGCTAAAATCCTACCTACCCTGAATGTTACAAAGAATGCAATTACCAGGTTTTGTCTGGGGTACTTCTGGTTTGCCAGATGTTTTGGGTTTAGGAGGAATAAACCGTGTTTCTTTTGGAGCTGGAAAAAAGGAGTAGGATTGTTATTATAGTCTTTAGAATTCAGATTCATGCCATGTTTAGCTCAAGTGAGAGTACATGCCTTAAAAGCATTAAGCAAAAAAACAATGATTCCATGTGTTTCTGACAGCTGATGAAAAAAGACTTTGAAAATTAGAAGAGTGCGATGATATAAAGTGCGATACAAAATAAATGATAAAGAAGAATGGTCAAGTTCTGTAGAAAACAATATTGCAGGTCTGAAAGACAGAAAACAGGATGTCCACAGCAGTGGTGTATTGGAGCAGGAACATGAGGGAGCACAGCTTTGAAATATTTTTTCACAACAGGAGTGATGATGCTATCTGTTGGGGTGGTATTTGGCATTGGTGTAAGCTCTGGGGTTGGACAACATAAGAAGAGCACTGTATAATCAACCCAAAGGCCCATCTACTCCAGCATCCTATTCTCACAATGGCCAACCTATGGGACGTCTATGGGAAGCCCACAAGGAGGACGTGAGTGTAATGGGACTCTCCCTACTTGTGTCCCCCAGCAACTGATACTGGAGATAGTACATAGCCATCACAACTAGCAGCCAGCACTTGACAGCTGCATCCTCCATGAATTGCCCATTCCCTTTTGAAAATCACCCAAGTTGGTGTCTATCATTACATCTTGTACTAGCAAAGTGCACAGTGTAACTATGTGATGTGTTTGTCTGTTCTGATAATTCCAATATGGATGACCCCAGGTTCTACTATTATGAGAGGAGGGGAAAAATATATTTATGTATCTTCACTGTGGCTATTTTTGTACAACTCTAGCAGGGATTGCCTGGCATATGATCCCTTTGTTGGGATGGCTAGGCACAGACAGTGACTGGCCCAAAGTCATCCAGTGAATTTCTTGGGTTGACCAAGTATGCAAACATACGTCTTTCCCTAGCCATGTCCAACATGCCATCTACTATATTCTCCTATGCTAGCTCATGCATTTCTTACTCTTCTTGGGGGTGTGGCTATGGATTCTCTTTGGGGGTGTGGCTTTGAGAGCTGTCACAATAAGTTTGTGCATTTCAAATTTACCATTATACCACTGGTCAACATGGTGTTTTCAGCTCCTGGGAAACCAGTTCTAAGGTAGCTATGAGAGATTACAGCAACATATATGGAGAAGCAGAAAATAAAATAATTGGTACGTCACAACACAAAATAATGACGCAAATTGTTCTTTTTGCTGAAGAGGGAAGAAACAGAGCATTAGTTTCAATGTGGAAGTTTTTACCCATAGTTGACTTTTGTCGTTCAGATGATATGGTAGGTTTGATTATAAGTGGTTGTGGGGTTGTTCGGTGTACTGCTGTTGGAAGGAAAAAGTGAACATCTTTACAAAGCTGAAATAAAGGAAATATAAAAGAAAGTATGTACAAATCAAAATAACACTGAGAATAGGAACAGCTTCCCATATAGCGCAAACAGTTACCACTACCTTGCAGTCCCAAGTGAGACCAGCTATTTCCACACACGACTGCAAAGATGCATTTAATATCATGTTCAGTCAGGGTAAGTTTCATACAAGAATAATGTTGAAAAATGAAAAGCACACTGAAATGGAAACAATTGCTTGGAAAATATTATTTGATATAATTTCTTTTCTAACTTAAGTGATCTCCAGCGTTATAGAGAGATGACAAAGGGTGATTATTGAAGTATCTGCAAACGTTTCAACGCATAAAGCTTTACACATAGCAGTTTGAAACAGTTTACGAAGTAGATTGCTGTGGGATCTGGGGACTGAAAAAGAAAAGGTAAAGCTCCTTTGCATCCACACAGTCGCTTACTGAGGGAGCTCTGTGGATTGTGTCCTTCAAAATTTCACAAATGGGGTATATTCAACTACAGTGGTGCCCCGCAAGACGAATGCCTCGCAAGACGGAAAACCCGCTAGACAAAAGGGTTTTCCGTTTCTGAGCTGCTTCTCAAGACGAAATTCCCTATGGGCTTGCTTCGCAAGACGAAAACATCTTGCGAGTCTTGCGATTTTTTTCCGCTTTCCCCCCTTTTTCTAAGCCGCTAAGCCGCTAATAGCCTTTTAGCTGCTAAGCCACTAAGCCTTTAATAGCCGCTAAACCGCTAATAGCGTTGCTTCACAAGACGAAAAAACCGCTAGACGAAGAGACTCGCGGAACGGATTATTTTCGTCTTGCGAGGCACCACTGTAATTCTAACTCAGAGACTCACTGAAATTAATGATGGCTAATGACTACCCGTTAATTTCAATGGCTCTACCCTGAGTAAAACTGAGCTGAATGCAACCCATAGATTCCACACACAAGCTGTGTGACTGTTCAGAACGCGTGAGCACAAATAAGTGTAGAAAGTCAACAATATAAGCAGCAATGGCTCACTAGCTGCGTATTGTGTTCCAAACAGTATCTTAGCTAACTGGGCATGGTGAAAAGGATGCTGATAACAGCAAAAGGCTTTAATTCACCACTGCAGCTCCTTCCAGTCCCTACAAGTGTTCTGCCGCTTATATTTATGTCTTTATTGTTAGTTTCAGTAACAAAATAAATACATAACAATTAGGATACCCTTTCAAGAAGAAGAAAGCTCCGACTATCCATGATAATACCCCTGACATTTCTGTCTTCTCAGGTTGGGATATTTTGCTAAATCTGGCAACCATATAATAGTTTCCACAGAAAACAAGGGCCATGGTATCGTATTTTCCCCTTATGAGTATAGCTGCTCAGGAATAACCAGGAGGAATTTGGCTATTTTTCCTCTAAAAATACAGAAAGCGAGGTTTGGCTAACAATATAATTATATGAATGTATAGAATTACAAAAGTGACTCAATTACCAGGTTTGGTCTCTAGCATTCTTGGCCTGGTAGTTGGTTTTGATTTATTAGGAATGAACTGTTCTACTGTTGAAGCTGAAATAGAAGAGAGAGAGAAAATGCAAACCTGGATTATAACCCGCAAGAACATATTTGTCTCTCAGCCTGAAGGAAGCTAAGAATGTGAAAGCAAAAATGCAGAAGCCAACTAGGAAGGAGGACCAAAAGGGAAGACAATAGTGATGATGATGAGGAGGAGGATGAACTTCTGAATAACAAATATTCTTTCAAGTAGTATTCCCTGTGCAGGGAGAAGAGAAGCAGACAACAACAACAACAAAAATACAAAAAACCAAAACCAAAATTAAGAAAACTTAACCACCCACAGGATGATGAACCTGATATTTTCATTTGTGCTGAGATCTCTGTGAGAACAGAGATATCAAACCTTCCCAATGCTTACCCTGCCTGCCTGAAATGTAAGACCCAACAAGGCCCTTAAAAAAAATATCCAGGGAAGAATAGCAATGCTTTGTCTCTGCAACAAAATTCATACACGTGCCCCATTAATTTAGTGCCACAGCATGTTTGTATGCACAAGCGAATGCAGATCAGTTTGATGGTGCTATGTATTTATGTTTCATGCCCAAATTACCAGCATCATTTTTGTCATGATTTCCTTCTTTGTACTCCAGACCATGTACACATACCCAACACCTTGTCTCTGCACTTCATGTACCTGATGAAGTAGGGTTTTACATTATGATAAACTACTCAGGCTGCATAGGAGAAAGTGTATGCAGTCAGCCAGACCTTTACTTGACATTTTCACAGCAACAGTAGTGGCAAGACTCACTACTTATGAAATTGAACAGAAGCAACGGTTCCTTGGCAGAGGAACTGCTGTAGTAAAATGTCAGTGGTTTGTTTGCATGTGAGATTTCCCTTCTCCCTGTCACCTATGTATATATATTGCTTTAGGCTGCAGCTATACAGTGTAATCCTGTGTGTCAGAAGTATCATTTAGTTCAATGATACTTATTTCCAGGCCAAGGCTGCAATCCTATATATGATAAGCTCAATGGATCCTACTTCCAGTAAGGGTGCACTATAATTGTAGCCTCAGTCTCGTATGGTGCCATAATTTGCTGTTTTGCAGTCTGTTCTAAATATCCCTATAAAGTACACCACATCCAAGTAAGGCAAATTGTACTCTTGTTCAAGGGAAATCATGATAACGTGTGCTTTTTTTTTAAAAGCAATGGAGTAACTTTCATACAGAAATGGTGTTGAACAAAATTCATCTTGATGTCTCAAAGACTGAGAATAAGCAGAAATGCCATCGACTTAATAATTTCTTCATGTGAGGTTCAACAATTATTGTGTGTTTTGTATCAAATGGCAGTTGAGTACAGTGGTGCCCCGCAAGACGAAATTAATTCGTTCCGCAAGTTTTGCCGTCTAGCGAATTTTTCGTCTTGCGAATTATTATTTAGACAAAGGAAACAAAGTCGCGAGACGTTTTCGTCTTGCGAAGCAAGCCCATAGGGGAATTCGTCTTGCGAGGCAACTCGCAAACGGAAAAACCTTTCGTCTAGCGAGTTTTTTGTCTTGCGAGGCATTCGTCTTGCGAGGTACCACTGTAAATGGAAAGAGAGGCTAGTTACTAGCTGCAGTACTAAGATGCAAGGTTCTTCAGGGAATGCCTTTGCCTGAAAGAATTATGAGAAAAAACATGACTGTGAGTAAATAATAGGATTACCCGGCATTGCCTTTGCCTTTTCAGGAACATGAGGTATGATGGTGGTGGCAGGACCTTGAGAGAATGGAATAATTTCTGCTAGGGGAAAAATTGAGACACATCGTGAGAGAACTGGAGAAGATTAATACAACTATTTATTTTACATTAGTGTGTGTGCCCAGATCGTTCTAAAGAGCTGATAGCTGTAAGATAGCAGAATTTTCTTGACTGAGATTTTATTAAACTGTAGTTTGAAAGGAAAAAGCTACATATTTATGTAAAAAAGATTTTGGTGTGCTGAAGAAACGCCCTTGATTTATATTCGGGTTGGAGTTTAGTCAGGATTCGGCAATAGGCTAGAATGCATGATATGGCTCCATCACTTCCCTAGGCAACATTGCGGAGAGTACTGATGCAAATAACTTATTTAGGCTGCAATGCTATGCTCACTAACCTAGGTGTAAGCCCCACTGAACAGAATGGTACTTCTGAGCAGAAAACCATTTGTTATCTTTGCTATTTGACTGTCTTCCTTGTGAATCCATTTAAAGCCGTTGCCATAAGCAGTGCCTAATGAAATGATTCTCTGATGGGAATCTTCTGCTGCCATGACTGGATAAGCTTTTGGCTAGGACCAGGGAGACCAGCCTTCAAATCCACACTTACCCTTGAAGCTCACTGGGTGACTTTTGGGCCAGTCACTGTCTCTCAGTCTCTCATGTACCTCACAGGGTTGTTGTTAGGACAGAATGGGGAAGAGGGGAAGAGAGACATTCATGCAACCTTGGGTTTCTTGGAGGAAAGTCAGGATAGAAATTTAACAACAGCGATTGTAGGGCAATGATAATGAAGGCGGCAGATGATTCAGTCACCACTTTGGAATCATGAAGTTACAGATTGGCTGGCAACAGCAGCCCATTCCAACACCAGAAGGCTGCTAGTTAGTCAACAACAACAGCAGGTTTGCACAGTGCTGGCTGAACTGCTGCCCGCTTCCATATGGCTCAATGATTATTGGCAAAGATAGGCTCTCTTTTCCCCACACTGCCAACCAATGGCCTCTGTCGGGTCCCACAAGTGAACTACTTCACCAGTTACTGCTGTAATGGCCCTTACCTTCTTGCTCTCTGAAAGGTTTCTTACTTGTGATGTGTTTTTGTAATAGTTTGTTTTCATATATTTAGGGAAGCTTTTAATGTTTAATAGACTACTGTATTTTAATATTTTGTTGGAAGCCACCCAGAGTGGCTGGGGAAACCCAGTCAGATGGGTGGGGTATAAATAATATATTATTATTATTATTATTATTATTATTATTATTATTATTATTATGCACTTTGGATTTGCCGTATTGGTCACATATTTGTTTTGCCAGATTCCCCTCACCCTCTTATTTAGAAGAAGAAGAAGAAGAAGAAGAAGAAGAAGAAGAAGAAGAAGAAGAAGAAGAAGAAGGTTTGGATCCCTCTTTATCACTACCCGAAGGAGTCTCAAAGTGGCTAACGTTCTCCTTTCCCTTCCTCCCCCACAACATTCTGTGAGATGAGTGAGGCTGAGAGACTTCAGAGAAGTATGACTAGCCCAAGTCCACCCAGCAGATGCATGTGGAGGAGCAGAGACATGAACCCGGTTCCCCAGATTAGGAGTCTACCGCTCTTAACCACTACACCACACTGGCTCTGGCATGACATTATTTCACAGATGAAGTTTTCTTGCCTTTTATGACTTTTATAAGACTATGTTCTTTAACCACATAGGAATCTTTGGGCACTTGTTTGTGCCCATTCTAATTGGAGGTAGAGATTTTATCTGACCCTATTGACTGAGCCATAATGGTGCTTTTGAAATAGCCACTAAGCTTCTGAAATGATTGACCTTCCAGACTTTCCCTTTCAGCTTCATTTGAACTATCCCAACTTTTTTTTCCCTAACTCCCTATCCTGAAAAGCATTGGCTATTTGAGGAAATTTTGCATAAACATATACGTTGAGCTTGACAGCTTTGCGGTCACTGTTTCCAAGGAGTTTAACATTTATCCTGCCTTAATGAATACCTGCTTATTTACAACAATGAAATTAAAAGAAAGCTTTTCATATCATATTCCATCTCTTAAACTGGATCATTTAAGATGTTCAGATGTAAAAGTTATTTACCAGGTCCAGTCTGTGGTGTGTCTGTGGTTGAAGAGATTTTAGATTTGGAAGGAACAGGCTGCATTTCCTTTCGAACTGAAAAAATAACCAGGAGTGTTATACTTTTTAATGTTTTCCTGGAACAGAAATTTGTGTGTCTGTACAACAAAGCTTGTGTCTGTCCTTCCACAGGCAAAGTAAATATATCTGGATAAAAAAAGAACACTGAATCTGATATATTCACAAACTTTAAACAAAGAAAAGACAGCTTTGCTTTTAATAACATTAAGAAAGCAATAACAAAAAGAAAACAAACCTGATCCTGTTTGAAGAACATAAATTAGGACATGAACTCAAGAATACATTAAAATTGGTGAGTTCCTCCTCTTAGGAAATCTCAGCCACTTGTTTGTATGCCAGTTGTTTCAGCCAATTGATCAGTAATTAAGTCTGCATAAATTTGCCCCTGAATAAAACTATATTTTGAAGGGGGGAATTATATTTTGTTCTTAGAAGATATGTGAGTCATGGCATCTCTGATAGATGGCTGCCCTGCATCTGATTAAAGCCTCCAGCAAAATGGAAAGACCACCACCACTGAGATAAATGTTCTCATTGTTAAAACAATTCTTACCATAAGTAATGATTTTTAATGAGAGCAAAATTAGGATGGTTGCTTAATTATTTCTGCAAGTTGTTTTCTCCTAATGTGAGACAGTAAATTTGCTGTGGACTCTCTGGGCAGATCCACCATACATTTAAAGCATATCCAATGTGCATTTACTTATCCCAAAGAATCACATGAAGAGTTGTTTGTTAAGGATGCTGCCAGAGCCCGCTCAGCCATTAGGAAGGATGAGCCCACTGCCTCAGGTGGCAGGAGCTGCTGAGGCAGCACCCCCCTGTGCTTCCTGCCTGCCCAGCCCCCTCTGCTAGTAGTGCAGAAGCAGTGTCACCATCATCACTGATTTCGGGAGAGATCATGTCCATCTAGGGTGAGGTCTTGTCTGAAATCACATGAGATATTGTGGAGCACACAAAATCTTACCCCAAAGCAGTGCAATCTTGCCTGGAATTGACACTGATTGTGGCACCACGTCTTCCCCAGAGGCGGATGCAGCAAGGTGTGTGGTGGCAGCAGAGTGGGCAGTGTCGGCAGTGGCAGATATGGTGGTGGAGGGAGTGGCAGCGGCGGCAGGGCAAGCCCATAGGTGCTGCTAATTGTACTGTATTGGCCTGAATATAAGCCTCACTTTTTTCCCACGTGAAAAGTTAAAGTGCGGCTTACATTCGCGACCTTATATTATGCAGTCGGGAGCATGGGGCAAACAGAGCCAGGAGAGGGGCAAAGTGGTGCCCACCCCGTGTGTAGTCCCCGCCCTCTCCCCCAAGGCCGGAGAGAGTGAGGAAGGGGAAAGGCCACTGGCAACGCAGCACAGATCCCGCCCCCCGAAGTATGCAGCCAGGAGCAGCGAGGAATGGAGCAGCTTATATTCAGGTCTTTTTTTCTTTTTTTTCTCCCCCCCCCCAATTTTAAAGGTGTGCCTTCTGTCTGGGTGCGGCTTATATTCAGGCCAATACGGTAACTCTGAGGAGGAAACTACAATTCCCAGGACTCTTTGGATGAAATCATGTGCTCTAAATTTGTGTTTTCAATTCTACCTTATCCAACGAAACTGTATTCTGCCTCTTTGCAAGCAGAATACTTAAAACAATCAGGAGCTCTTTAAGTCTTTGAGAAACGCCAAGTGAGAGGCGTTACTCTGTAAAAGTAGGTGTATGGCCAGCATCATCTCAAACACACATCATGAGTAGCGGAATTCTAAGGTGTTCAAGCATCCAATAAATAAAACGTGAGTAGGCATTCAAAGAATCCTTAATTGATACTTAGGGCACAAGTGTTGCCACGAGTGTGCCGTGAGACTGCTCGTGTGCCAGATGCTGGAGGATGGGAGTCGGGCGCGAGAGGCGGGCGGCGCGGCGGGAAGCCGCGCCTCCTGCTGCTGCTGCATCCTCCTCGCAGCCGGCAGGCTGTCCTCCACCACTCGCCTGCTGGTTGTTCCAGCAGAGACGGGTACATCTCCCTCCAGCCTGCGCGGGAAGCCAGAGAAGGCATGTTGCCGCGGAGAGGAGCAGCCGGAGCGATTGAACGCATGGAATGGAGGGGAATTCTCGAGGCGGATTGAGCGCAGCTGAGAGCCTTCGGGAGCGAGTTCCCGGAAACCCCTTCCACTCTGCTCAGCCGCGCCCCTCATTGCCGCCTCCTCGTCCTCGCTCTCTGTCCTCCACCCCAAAGCTGGAGGTTCCCAGCAAGGGGAGGGAAAAAAACTTTACTTTTGTGCGCCTTCCGCGTGACGTGCGCCTGAGTACGGGCGGGCTTTAATGGTGGTTGCGCAGATTTTTTCAGTAACAGTGTGCCTTGCCAAAACGTTTGGAACACTGTGTAGGGAACAGAAGATAGCACTGTACAAGGGACTTGTGTCGACAGGAACCATTTGTTCCCAACAGACAGGAGAGTTTCGTTCTTAAAGCCAGGGCTTGATTCCCACCATTGTATTTTGATAGCTCTTGGTGCCTTAGCCTTCTTTTTGGAAAGTTAATTGCCTCAGAAAATAAACACTCTCATATGTCTAATGTATTGAAACAAATGCTTCTTTTTAAGGAGGATGCTCAAGAGCTGCCTTCTTCAGACTACTATAGAGTGGAAAAAGTGACACTATTTATAATTCCAGTCTCCACAGAATGTAAATCAGCTCCACTGCATTTCAACATTATTTCAAACCTCACCAGGAAATCTTTTTATATACACAAAGCTTCTTTAAAAGACAAATGTGCTAGAAAATGAAATGCTTTAATATAAGATGTAAATATTGTACGGTCACATTCCATTCAAACAATCCACAGAAAAGGAGAGCTGAATTATAGCAACAAAAGCCTTTAGCATTAAATACCCTCTACTTTCCATCTCTCAATTTTAACCACATCATCTCTGAAACATTCCAAGCCTCATTAGAAACCACATCCTGCCCTGCAAGCCCATCACAGAACTAATTCCAGATGAATCAGAACTGGTGGTTGTCACTCAGTGGTAAAGTAAAAAGCACTCTGCCCATGCACCTTATCCTTTGTTGTGAGCTATAAATCAAATTAAGCTCTAAATCTTAACCGACGAGAAATGATCTTGCATTAGTCCTGTGACAAAACCAATGAGGTTTATTGTATGGGTCTACGCAGCGGCGTAGCGTGGGTTGTCAGCACCCGGGGCAAGGCAAGTAATTTGTGCCCCCTAACCTGTGGATTTGCACCCCCTAACCCGTGGATTTGCCCTAACCCCAGATGTTGCGCCCGGTGCGGCCGGCACCCCCTGCACCCCCCACGCTACGCCACTGGGTCTACGCATTATAAAAACAGTTATTAAAAAAAGGTGAAAGGGATCTAAAACACCACTGAATTTAACCCTCTGTCATGCCATGATGTGTTATAAATATCCATATAAAAAAGAAACTTACCACCTGGTTCAGTGACATATACATTGACTCAGCAGAATTTTGGATGGCCCATATCACATTTGCCATCACCCCTCACACCCCAACATAAACTGACATTTTGAAGTCAGCTTACCGTGGAAATCCATTTGGAAATAGATTGTGAGAAGAACCAGGCATGTCCAGAAACTGGCAACTAGCCACCAATAGCCTTATCTTCCATGAGTGCAACAGTAAAAAGGTAAAGGACCCCTGGACAGTTAAGTCCAGTCGAATTTGACTATGGGGTACGGCACTCACTTTGCTTCAGGCTAAGGGAGCCAGCGTTTGTCCACAGACAGCTTTCCAGGTCATTTGGCCAGCATGACTAAACCGCTTCTGGCACAATGAGACAGCATGATAGAAGCCAGAGCGCACGGAAACTCCATTTACCTTCCCGGCGCAGCAGTACCTATTTATCTACTCGCATTGTTATGGTTTTGAACTGCTAGGTTGGCAGAAGCTAGGACGGAGCAAGAGGAGCTCACTCTGTCCTGAGGATTCAAACCATAGGTGAGGACAGTGTTCTGGTGCTTGAGGGTTTCCCACAGGCATCTTGGTGGCCATGGTGAGAACAGATGCTGGACTAAATAGGCCATCTGTCCAGCAGCCTCCGCTTCTGTTCTTATGCATTCAGGTTTTGCTCCTCATAGGCATATGGTCAGCCACAGTGAGAGCAGGATGTTTTAGGGTATATGGGTCTGTGGTGTGATCCAGCAGGCATCCGCCTTTGATTTCAGGGCATGCATTTGGATATGGCTCTAGATGTGATCCCTGGCATCTCCAGTTAAAACAAAATCAGGTACTGGGGATGAGAAAGAGCCTCTGCTTTGGTTCCCAAAGAACTGCTGCCAGTCAGAGAATATTGGGCTAGGTGGACCAATGGCTTAATTCAGTATACGACAGTTTTATACATTCATAAACAGTGAACTACTGCAAAAGTAAGTTTCAATGACACAGGTTTGGCCAAAGACACACTTTGATGTAAAATAATTGTTGGAAGTGATGTGCTTACCTGGTTTTGTATGCGGTGTTTTTGGGCTGGGTGACGTTTTAGGCTTGGGTGGAACACGGCGACTCCCTTTTTGACCTGAAAGGTACAAAAGTTGAATTAAAGCTGCATCTATACCATCCTATTTCTTCTTGATGCAACAAACTATCACCTTTGAGTTTTCGTTTGGATCCGATTACGTTTCTGTGCTACTTTTTGCATGTTTTCAGGAAAGGGCTCTGGCCTACTGCGCAAGACAGAATAATGCTTTCCCACACAAATGGAATTGCTGGGAAATTGCTGAACCAGCCTTGCAGCAGATCCGCATACCATGCTGCAGCCCTTTTTTTGCGAGTGCCATTAAGGCAGGAATGGTGAAACTGGGGTTCTCCACATGTTGTTCAACTCCCATCAGCCCCAGACCATAGCTGTCAACTTTTCCCTTTTCTTGCGAGGAATCCTATTCGGAATAAGGGAATTTCCCTTAAAAAAAGGGAAACGTTGGCAGCCATGCCCCAGACAGCATGGCCAGTGGTCAGAGCCAGTGCTTTTTCCCTGGGGGTACGCAGGGGTATGCATACCCCTAAACATTTTGTGAATCTAACGGGAGAAGAAACTGAAAAATTAAAATATTTTAGTTTATTCTCTAGCATGGTAAATCATCAGTTCCATTGCTACCCCTGATGGCAGCCTCATTTCTTGTCATGGTGTTTCCCGAGTCTCAGATGGAAGCGAGCATTTAATGTGTGAAGTCACTGTGATCTGTCAGCTGTGTAATATGAGGTAATGCATGTTCTTTGTACCTTTGGCCATTTACTGTATTTATTTTTCCCAATTTAAACTCTAAAATGGTGATTTTCTTGAGTCAAAATGACAGTACCCCTAAGCCTTTTTTAAAAAAAGAAAAGAAAAAAACCCACTGGTCAGAGCCATTGGTTCTCCCATCCTTGCATTAATGACTGCAGCTACTGCCTCCTTCTCCCTGCATTTCCAACAGATCTATTGGCAGAGAAGGGCGCTTAACGAACTACCTTAGGTCAAATGCTAACTATTAACTGCTGGTTAAAAAGAAGAAAAAATTATTCAACAAGCAGAGAATCTAAAATGCATGTAGTGGGTGTTTCTAAAGTAATCCAAAAAGTCCGAAGATTAAAAAAACAACAACAGATTTCTACAAAAGGCCTTCCCACACAGAAAGAAAAGCTGGAAGTCAATCAAATGTGTATTGATACCAAGATACAGAATGATATGCTGATTATAAAATAAGTTGTGCATGGCCCCCTTATAACCCATAATATCTGTACTTGGCCAATATCCAAATTGTTACTGCAAGTCGCTTAAGCCAGACAACAACTTGCATTGTTGGGTCGAATAACACTGACTCTTAGAAGTAGAAAATGGCTACATGGGTGGAATAAAAGACATAGCACATTATGTATGGAAATGTTGTTTACAGAAGGCAGTACAAGATAAATGACTTGTTCAGTTGGCTAAAAGTGTGTTTAGAAAGGGGAAACATTGTTCTGGTTGCTAAGCAGTGATTCATCCCGTGCTTTGATATTGTGTTATCTGTTGAGCATGCCAACTGCTAAGAGACTCAACATAGATATAGGTATATGGCTGTTATTTATGTACATATTTTATAATGTTTTTGTAATTGTTCTTTGTTTTATAAAGTTTTTATTTTTATTCTTAAAATCCATATCACTCCCTTCATCATAGATGATCTCAGGGCCGTTAACAACGACATAGAATACAATAAAATATGATACAGTTGAAACCGTCAAACTAATCCATTACAATAGAAAAATACAGTGATCACTGTGTATCAGTGAGGAATATCAATGTACGTATTCAGAAGGGCACCAAAGGTCTTCAGATTCAGAAGGTCTGCGTATTCAGAAGGTCTTCAGTTGGCACCAAAAGATGGACAGTGTTAGCCTCAACAGAACCAAAGCAAGGAGGGTGTTCCACAATCGGGATACTGTTACCAGGAAGGCCTTCTGACAAACTAATACATCATCTGACCTCATGTACAGATGGTATCGCTAAAAGGGCCACTCTAGGAGATTTCAAAGTACAAGCAGGACTGTTATGGGGAAAGGTGTTCACCTGTGTATATATTTGGTGTATATATGGTATTTTTATGTATGGGGTAGGAGAAAGTCCCATTTGGCAAGGAAGTAAAAGGAATAAAAAACAAAATTTAAACAGATTTCCCCTGTATTTTAAGATGCTAGTAAATTTCAGTGATCAGGGACCACCTCTCCTGGTATGCCCCACGGAGGACCTTAAGGTCTGCAAATAATAACACCCTGAAGATCCCAGGCCCCAGGGAGATTAGACTGGCCTAGACCAGAGCCAGGCCTTTTTGGCCATGGCCCCAGCCTGGTGAAACGCTCTCTCACAAGAGACCAGGGCCCTGCAGGATTTGACATCTTTCTGCAGGGTCTGCAAGACGGAGCTGTTCCACCAGACCTTTGGTTGGGGTTCAGTCTGATTCTTTTCTTTCTGTGTAAGAACAAGCATTAAAAAAGCCTCCTAGCCTGCTCACAAGTCCTTTATAAGACCAGTGGTAACAGTTGGCCCTGGAGAATATTAACCACTCTCGGTTTTACCCGTGGACTGCCATCTGTCCAGATTTTAATTTGCTCTGAACTAATTTTAAGATGTATTTTAATTTATTGCCTGTTTTTATGTTCTTTGTATACTGTTTTAGTTTTATGATGTTAGCCGCCCTGAACCCAGCTCCAGCCGGGGAGGGCGGGGTACAAATAAATTTTTTTTATTATTATTATTATTATTATTATTATTATTATTATTATTATTATTATTATTGCATTTATTTTGAAGACTTTTCCCTGAGTAGATATTCATGAAGCACCTCTATATGCTAAATAGTTCTTAGTAGTAATCACATACTGAATATAATTGAGCAGAAACTCAAAATAATGAACCACTTACTAGGCTTGGTTGTTGTTAAACCAGGGCTGGGAGATGTTCTTGGTCTGGCAGGGACACGACGAGTTTCTTTAGGAACTAAAAGGAATTGAACATGAGCTATTTTACTATAATACCACAGGGCTGCCAAATGCAAGTAGGAGCGGATGCCCACAAGCATCACTTCTACAAAACATATGAATAATAAATAACAACAAATAATAAGCCACCAGTGATAATTAGAGTGTGCATGCTGAATGGAGATGGGTGATATAAATGAAGGCATAAAGTCACTGATGGAATTTGCAGTTCAGAGAGATTTGAAGTCTAACTCTAAAATACAGAATGAAAAATAATACGAGGCAGTTGAAAACAAATCAACATGATCTCATATAACAGGCTTCCAGTACCTCAGTGGTATTTTTCATCACATCTTGTTTTGTCTCAGGCTGTAGCATATAGGCTCTAGTGGGCCACTGAAAGGTCTTGAAAAGTATTTGTGCAAGGGACCTCTTTAGGCATTCTATACTCAATCGTAAGTGAACATGCAAGGCTGGACGGGGCAGGGGGTTAGAGCTAACATAAGCCCTATCACCATTTCAGCTGAGGGTGATCTTCTTAAGGGAGTAGCCTCCTATGCTCCTGCAATCTCTCTTCATATTTTGAGGCTGTGACTTCCCAGAGCAATAAAATGCCTGGGGAACCTCCACTTGTGAAGCTTGCCCTCCAACTCATGGAGAGCGACAGGAATGGCTTTATCCGGATGGGGAGTGGAGCTTTGGTGTTCCTCTTGCATGTGTACTTAACACAAATATAGAATGTCTGAAGAGGGCAACTGTCTTCTGCAGCTGCAATGGCTTCATTACATTTCGGTCACTTTGCTCAAACAACACTCTTATGGTAGGTCAGAAAGAGCAGAGGAAGATTTTTGCCAGCCAAAGAGCACCTCTGGGTTCGAGTTGCTGTGATTTCTTGTGAACATATACTCTGCAAGACCCCATCCCCTAAATCTTTTAGGAGTCCAATTTTAAAAGATGTGGGGTTTCAGTGCAGCATGGTGATTTTAGTAATGTTATGGAAGAGACACTAGCAGCTAAGAAAGCTGAATGTCAAGGTGAAATGATGAACAAGAAAGTACAGTATGGTACAGAAAGGATTTGAAATTCTATTGGAAATTATGAAGGCAAGCAAATATGATCATCCATGATTAAAACGTTTTACCCATTGTTGACTTTGGTTGTTCAGTTCTAAAAGTAACTGCTTCCATGTCTGCATCATCAATAACATTAGTAAATAAAAAGGCATGTATTCAATAATAAACTTACAAGTCATTATAAGCATAACATGAAAAAAACACAGCTTTGCTTCATTTGCAGCTAGCACTCATTTAATGCACTTTATTTTTATTAACTTCAAGTTACAACTTCAAGTGGGTACAAGTTTGTCCTCTGATAACTCTAAGTGGAAGTATTTCCAGTGTAGTGGCAATGAATGTACATTATTTTGTGTTTTCTTACTGTTTTCCCTGCATGGGATGCAGGTGGCACTGTGGGTTAAACTACAGAGCCTAGGACTTGCTGATCAGAAGGTTGGCGGTTCAAATCCCTCTGATGGGGTGAGCTCCTGTTGCTCGGTCCCTGCTCCTGCCAACCTAGCAGTTTGAAAGTATGCAGTGGGAAGGTAAACGGCGTTTCCGTACACTGCTCTGGTTTGCCAGAAGCGGCTTAGTCATGCTGGCCACGTGACCCAGAAGCTGTACGGCGGCTCCCTCAGCCAATAAAGCGAGATGAGTGCCGCAGTCATCTGCGACTGGACCTAACGGTCAGGGGTCCCTTTACCTTTACTATTTTCCCAAGGATGAAGTTCCAAGTGCAGCTACTACAGAGGCTGTTTTCCTTAAGAAGAGAGAGAAGTGGATTTCCAGTAGACCACAGTACTCATGCTTCTGTCTATTTTGCTAGCTGCACTGTAATTCTGTGCAGTTTCTCTAGACTGCACCATGTGGGGTGTGTCCTAGCGCCTAGCAGTTGGGAGGAAGAGGGTTCTAAAAATGAAATAAGTACAGGCAGTGCCCCCCCCGTTTATGCAAGGGTTACATTCTGAGGCACCGCGTGTGTCAGTGAAATCATGTATAAAAGCCTGCAAACACCCTGTTCTGCCCCCTTAGAATATTTGACTGCATTTTTAGGAAAAAGAATGAAGTATTCCAGGCTGTGCCAAAATAGATAAAAAGCTATACCGATGAATGAATTCATACAAAACAAAGATGAATTTACCAGGCTTGGTCTGGGGCACATCAGGGCTGAGCCAAGTTTTTGGTCTGGAAGGCACAGGGTCTCTTTCTTCTGGAAACAAAATAGAGCATGCAAGTTATAAATTGGTACATTGTTCAGAAATCTCAGTGTGAGATCAGATGCAATGAATGTGGGTACAACATGCCTCTGTCTTACTTCCTACTAAAGATAATGAAGAAGGATAAAGGAGAGACGTGCAAAGGAATTTTTAAAAAGCATGTTTTGACTTTAGGCGCAGATTATAAGAATGGATACAACAGGCTGGCTGCCCTTGGAAACTTGACAGACATTTAAACACACAAATATTGATCCAGAGAGACCCAAACTGCTTTGATTTGGCAAAGCTCCATGACTAGGTATTGAATCAGGGGCAGGATTAGAGAAGTGCGCCATCTGCTCAGGTGTCATTGGATCAGTTTCAGGTTTTATGGCTGGAGAAGGCAGATAAGACCCTTGGAAATTTGTGACCAATGGCACAAAGTTTGACTGATATAACGCAGCCGGAAGGGGTTGAAAGGATGGTTCCAGGGAATGCTGAAAGCATCCTTAAATGAGTGGTGCACTGCAAGAGGTGATGGCTTGACCACTAATTAAGAAGCCCTCGTGGATCAAGAGGTTTGTGGCAAATCCCCCAATTGCAAATATTTCCTTCTTAGGGAAGGTGGTAGCTGCTTAACTTCAGGTGCTATTGGAAGAAGTGGTTTATCTGGACCCATTACAATCTCACTTTAAGTCTAGCTTTGGGAATGAAACAGATTTGGGTCACTCAAGTTATATGATCAGATGGATTTGGAGAGAGACAAGTAGGACACTGTTGTTTATTAATCTCTCAACCGTTGTACTGCTAGACTGACTGCAGTTCAAGAGTTGGAGGCATGGTGAGTCAGTGGTTCCACTTCTATCTATAGGATGAGTTCTGGATTTTTGTTGATGACTGCTATTGATGTGATTTTCTTATTTTCCTGCTCTGCCCTGGTATTGCATTGTGATGAAGGAAAGATAACAAATACTCTTACATAAAAGTAAAACTGAGAGTAGTTATATATACTATTAGGATATGAACACAAAATGAATGCAAAACGAGCTGCTTAACAACACTCAAAATACTGGATAAATTCAAGTGAAACAGCAACACATTAATAAAATTAAAGGTAAAGGTAAAGGGACCCCTGACCATTAGGTCCAGTCATGCCCAACTCTGGGATTGTGGCACTCATCTCGCTTTACTGGCCAAGGGAGCCGGCGTACAGCTTCTGGGTCATGCGGCCAGCATGACTAAGCTGCTTCTGGCGAACCAGAACAGCGCACAGAAACGCTGTTTATGTTCCCGGCGGAGCGGTACCTATTTATCTACTTGCACTTTGATGTGCTTTCGAACTGCTAGGTTGGCAGGAGCAGGGACCAAGCAATGGGAGCTCACCCCATTGCGGGGATTTGAACCGCCGACCTTCTGATCGGCAAGTCCTAGGCTCTGTGGTTTAACCCACAGTGCCACCTGCGTCCCATTAATAAAAAAATTAATAAAAAATTACCAATTTGGACCTTCTGTTCTTGTTGTTACACCACTGAAGAGCTTGGATGAAATGAAAAATCAAAACATTTGAACTTACTAAGTGTACACACTGCCTTCTTCAAATCGAATAGAATGAAGTTTGACCAAAAAGTATAGAGAAGTGTGGAAGCTGTGTTTGATGGCAATCTTCTTATGAAGAAGATTTTTTTTGGGGGTGGTTGTTCTTTGATGGAACAGCAAAGAAATGGTTTGGAAGTCATGACAAGCGGAAGAATCAAAGTGCAATTAGTGTTTCATAAAGTTGTAAGAAGGATAAACAGATAAAATATACTTTTCAAGGAAGTAAATAATCCATTACCCGGAGTAGCTTTGGGACCATTGAAAACATGAATATGGAGGTTAATTGAGTCCAAGTCCGTAATAAATGGTACTGTTGGAAACAAAACGGGGGGTGGGGTGGATCTGAGATTAGGCTTGTCTTGTCTGAGTCACATATGAGATAAGAACAAGACACATGTGCATTTCAGAAAATAAAATGCATTTCCTATAATACCACTTGGTTTTACTTAATGTTTACATATTTTTATCTTCTGTTGATAGTGTACTCAGAGCGGCATACATCAACAATAAAAAAATCCAAAATAAAAACCAGAAGAATGTAAATTTCAGTGAAGCATCATTACCTAGTTCAGACTTGGGTGGCTCAGTTCTATGTGCAACAGGTTTCATATCTATACAAAAACAAAGCAAAACTTTTATATATAATAATGATGCTTCTTGCCAAAGTGACGAACAAAATCATCAGAACAATGACAAACAAAAATAGTAAAACATAACAAGGAGTAAACGTATAAAATAAAATATGAAAAAAATCTTAATTTACACTGAAAACAATATTACTAATGTCTGCTGGTAGATCAGAAGAATTATTAAATTTTACTAAGGATAAATCAATACTTATTAATCTATGTGCCTTTAAAATGTCCATGCATGTATTCTTAATAATTTTCTTTCCAAAATTGTATCAAATCAAAGGATAATCTAGATGTCATGCTAATGAGCAAAGTGAGGAAAGGAAGGAAAGTGGTCAGACATCAAGACTGATGATTATGCACGGAGATGTGAAATGGCAATTGTGGGGTGGGTAACAAGAGGCTATCTTGACAACATACTTGTAAGAGGCCTGGTTTTATAATAATGCTAAGGATGGAGGAATCATTCTATTTCTTCCTCAACCTTTGTATGCATTTTAACTTAAAACATGCTTTTATATGTGCGCTTTGGTAATTTTTTGAGCAAAGAACTGTTATTGCAAAATTTGGAGAAGTGTGTGAGAATGAAACATTTAACTATATTCTGTGTAAAGATAATATTAGTTCTGGAAGTGCAGATCAAATCAGTTTGCTTAAAAATGTAGACCAAACAAAATGCTCAAGCACCCCTAAACGAGATAATTATATAATTACTATCAATGTCTTAGATCCAAAGAACTGTAAAAAGAGTTCCATTTGCAGAACGCGTCATTCCGAACTTTCTCTTTCCACAAAAGCACCTGCAGCCCTCAGAGGACCCTCTGGACTGGTGTTTGATGCAATGTGAAGGAGAGGGTCTGAAACTGCCCCTTCTGCTCTTGCTAGGGCACCATTGAATGCAAGCCATTATGGGCTTAGAATGAAATCCTGCACTTCATTTCGGTTGCAAAATTTCCTTTAAACTGAATGGGGTGTATTCATGTATTACCAAAGGCAACTACACCCATGCAATGTTACTGAGATGCATACACAGACCATTTTAAATGTGACAACTGAGGAAAATTACCAGGTTTAAGAGATAAAGAACTACAGTTGTTTTATTATTTTATGGAAGATAAATTTATGAAACAGAAATAAGTTAAATATGAAAGGGTTGCTGGAGAATCTTGAAATGTGAATGCAGAAAAGGGGTGGTATGGGGAAGTCGTTTTTGGTGTTTGCTTATGCTTTCTATTATGTTTTCGCTTTTATTTATGGAAAATTAATAAAAATTTATTTAAAAAAAAAAAAAAGGAAAATTACCAGGTTTAGTATGCAGCACATGAGGGCCAATGGTTGGCTTAGGACTCGAAACACGATGCTTGACTTCTGGAACTGAAAGAGTAAACTTGGTTAGGAGCTGTTAAAGACCATTATGTTTGGCTCTGGCTTTTCAGATGCGAAGGTGAAGGTGATGAAACAAAATCATGCTGTGGGAAAGAAGTGTACCAAGGCAGACAACACAAGAGACTTTCGAAAGGAAAGTTGCCATAATACATGTATAAGGTTGGTTAAAGTGATTCATATGATTCGTGGCCATTTCTGGAGCCTAGCTTAAAAAAGGAATGCGAATCACACACGAAAGACTTGACTGCAGTGTAATGTGGCTACTTCCAGCTGTTTTCAAAAGGTGACAGAATCACTGTGCGAGGAAAGAAAAAGTAATTCTGTGGGGTGGAAATGAAAATGGTTACAAATGTGCTAAGTGATCAACATACCTAGAGAAAGGGTGAATTTTAATGGGGGGGGGAAGAAGGATGGTGTTAGATGACCTTTCAGAAGGAGAAAATGCAAATGGTTTCTGAGAAAAGAAAGTGAACAAGACCAGTCAGTGCACAAGGAAAACACCATTACCTACTATTGGAAGTTCATTGCTAAATGTAATAGGCTCCGAAACTGCACCAGAAAAAAGGTAACGATTAAAATGAGGAAAACCTTTCAGAATGAATGTAACTATTGCATTACCCTATAAACATAAGGCTATGCTACTATTTTAAAGTCAGAGTTTGCTACAAAATCTTAGAATCAAGCGAGTTAACAGTGGAAAACATACACGCAAGAAAGTATTACGGAAGAACCACAGTCTGGTAGTACATTTCTGCCTCTTAATCTTTAGGTCAGGGGTGGCTAATCTGTGGCTCATTTATGGTCAACCAAGAGATTTTTGTTAGGGTCTAATAATTCTGTGGCATTTTGTTTACATTTTTTTTTAAGGTGGGAAAGTGGTTTCCCATCTTCGTCATTCCCACATTACCATGCAGGATGTGGAAGGTTGGCCATGGGTCAAAGTGCCCTTCAGCCTGAAAACAGTTAACCACTCCACTTCAGCCTGAAAACAGTTAACCACTCACTTGCTCCTGTAAGGGCTACCCTGTTTGTGAAGGCCTGGGGATAGTTGGATGGATGTCTGCTGCTATTATTTTGGTTATCGTTCTGTTTTTGCAGTCATAGAATTTTAATGGATTATTTATTGTATTGGTTTTCAAAACTTTTCTGACACTGGGAAAGGTGGACTAGAGCGATATTTTACATACATAAAGGTAAAGGTAAAGGTACCCCTGCCCGTACGGGCCAGTCTTGACAGACTCTAGGGTTGTGCGCTCATCTCACTCTATAGGCCAGGAGCCAGCGCTGTCCGCAGACACTTCCGGGTCACGTGGCCAGCGTGACAAGCTGCATCTGGTGAGCCAGCGCAGCACACACGGAACGCCGTTTACCTTCCCACTGGTAAGCGGTCCCTATTTATCTACTTGCACCCGAAGGTGCTTTCGAACTGCTAGGTTGGCAGCGCTGGGACCGAACGACGGGAGCGCACCCCGCCGCGGGGATTCGAACCGCCGACCTTTCGATCGGCAAGTCCTAGGCGCTGAGGCTTTAACCCACAGTGCCACCCGCGTCCCATATTTTACATACATACATACAATCAAATGCCTTATCCAACCTCGTTTTGAAATGTACCTCTCTGAGAGGCAGTTACTGCCTATTATATTTTTATTTGGAATTGATTTGCTCTGTTATTCAATCAGACCTCCCATTCACATTCTTCAAGTACATCTGGAAATAGTCAAACTGTTAACCAGAGGCCATGTTTGTGATTGTTTCAGACCGTCAGCCCAGCAGGAAGGATCAATTGCTCACAATCTAACAATCCAAAGTTCCAAAATGCTGAGATCTAGATTGCTGGGAGTCTAGACAGGAAACAGTCTAGTGACCAATCAAGATGGCACCTGCAGTATATTTGCACTCATACCACCAGAGCCCTATTCAGGGACTATGCTTGAACAAGGAATGCCTACATGAGTAGCACCAACAAAATCTCTACCAGCAATGACATCAGAGAAGCTTTCATTAAGCCCATTTATAAAAACACATAATTACCAGATTTAGTAAATGAGGGTTCTGGTGCTGTGGATGGTTTAAAAGGAAACTGATCTGCTTCAGTTACAGCTGGGGAAAAAACATCGGTAAATAATTCAAGCGCATGCCAACTCAAAGGGTGTCTTTGTATCATATGGTTCAGATGACATTTATCTTAAAGATTGATGGTGCATTCCTTTGCATGTTTACTCAGAAGTAAGTTTGCTGCCTTCAGTGGGGCTTACTCTCTTACTCGACATGTTCTTGTGATGCACTGAGCCAACATTCAATATCTCCTACCTTTCCTCTCTCCAGAACTCTCAAGTGTACTCCACAAGGATGGAAGCACTCCTACTGGTCATGCTCGAAAGGAGACGTTTTTCTATATGAAGTCTGTCCTGTTATATCCAACATACAAACACCTTTTTTTTTTTTTAGATGCATTGTTTCAGCTTTAATTTTTTGCTGAGCCACAGCAAAATGGTGCCTTTTACAAGCTCCTTTCCCTGAGCAGGACTCCACCATTCAGAGGAACTACTCCCCTTGATTATCTGGTATGATTTATTTTAAAGCATCGGAACTCAATATATTACAGAGTCTGCTTGTACCTTCTCAGGCGCATCATCTATTTAACCACGATTCCACAGAAATTTCTGAGCCAGTCTGGTTTGAATAACCAGTTGATTCAAACCATCAACATTCAAACCTAATTATGAAAGTTTATTTGATTCTGGAGGGTTTTATATGACGGTTTTGTGTCAGTTAAACATTTTAAACAAAAATATTCCTAAAAGATTCCTTATGGATTTAATGGTAAAACAAAAGGGCAATCAGACTAAGTGTACTTGCGCTATTTATTTTGAGATTAAAATTAATTTAATGTACAGAGTTTACAAATTTTCGCAGCTGGGTTACCAAATACTTTTGCTGGCAATGACTGTGGAAGTATGATAAAAGCTGACAAGCTGGAGGATTTGGCAGTTGGGAGGAAGACTGGGGCTGAGGGGATTCAGATGCTAACTAGATGTGTCTACGGTAATTCCTAGCAGTGAAACCAAGTTAAACTGTCAAGCTTTGCTTAATAGGATATGACATTCCACTCCAGTGCATTGGTTTGAATTATTCTGTACTCAGCAGGAGTTCCTATGACATGCTTTAGTGCAAAGTGGGCCAATAAATAAATAAATAAATAAATAAATAAATAAATAAATAAATAAATAAATAAATAAATAAATGTGTTGTTGTTCTGAGGGAAGGCAAAGTGTTGCAATAGATTGTCTCAAGTCTGAGATACTGATAGCACTATGGTACATCATATAGGAGCACTGGGTTTTGGTGTGGGTTTTTTCGTCAGCAGTCTATTGACCTGAGGAGTTGGCAGCTTTGCAGAAGAGACAGGCAGACGTATAGACCTGACTCTGTCAAAGTCATGCTCATGGTCCCTGTTGCTCCAGTCTTGGTATGTCACAAATGTCTGCAATATGTGGCAACTGTAGCATCCATGTCATAGACTTGGTTTCTCATGTGTTAGTGGTCAAGAGTTTCACCCATGCAAGAAAAGGATCTTGAAGATTTTTGCAGAAAATACGGGGCTAGTAGGATAGGGTATGTTTCACATACTGTACATGGGAACTACTCTCCTAAAACAACAGCAGCAGCAGCAGCAGCAGCAGCAGTAATGTCTAAGGTGGATGTTATAGTAGACTAACCCTAAAATTTGAAAGGCTAGCAAAATTCTAAAGATGAAATTGTGGTAGAAAATGCACTTGTAGTAAATGAAAGGTTCCTTGTAGTATTGAGAAGAAATTAAAAGAACCAGCTGGATAGTGACAATTAGCTGAAGTAAAATATATTACCCATTGTTGCCCCTGGATGTCCGACAGTGTGAGAAATCTTAGTTGTGGTGGGAACTGGAATCAATTTGCTGGTAACTGTTGGAGTAAAGGATAGTCTCTTAAAAAAGGAAAATCCGAGAGTTCAGGATTTTAGAATGTGTATTCAAATAATGTGTGGCATGCTCTGTTTTAACGGCATTTTTGGACTGTCTACCTAATCATAAATATAATCAAGTAGTGTAGTATCACTGTTGGATTTAATTTGGGAGACCTTGATTAGAAAATGCATGGAGGGCAGGGCTAGATTTACTATCCTCCAGGTTCAGAGGTAGCAAGTCTCTGAGTATCAGTTGCTGGATACGCAGCAGCAATGGGCTATTTACTGGGTTCACATCCTGCCAGTGGGCTTCCCTTGAGCATCTGGCTGACTACTGTGGGAAACAGGATGTTGAACTAGGTAGGCTTCGGTCTAATCTAGTAGGGCTCTTCTTATGTTCTTGTGGGGTTGAATCCTTGCTCAGCTCTAATGTTAACTTAGTGGTCTTTGACAAATCCGTATTTCAGCCTATTTCACTCAAGGTTATTGTGCAGATAAAATAGTTTAGTCTGATGTATTTTGCCCTGAGAAACAGAAATAATTTAAAGGCAAATATGATATAATATGGGGACGCGGGTGGCGCTGTGGGTAAAAGCCTCAGTGCCTAGGGCTTGCCGATCGAAAGGTCGGCGGTTCGAATCCCCGCAGCGGGGTGCGCTCCCGTTGCTCGGTCCCAGCGCCTGCCAACCTAGCAGTTCGAAAGCACCCCCGGGTGCAAGTAGATAAATAGGGACCGCTTACTAGCGGGAAGGTAAACGGCGTTTCCGTGTGCGGCTCTGGCTTGCCAGAGCAGCGATGTCACGCTGGCCACGTGACCCGGAAGTGTCTGCGGACAGCGCTGGCCCCCGGCCTATAGAGTGAGATGGGCGCACAACCCTAGAGTCTGGCAAGACTGGCCCGTACGGGCAGGGGTACCTTTACCTTTATGATATAATATAAAATATCAAGTCCTCCTCCAAAGCGAGTTATTAGAAGATGGAAGCATATTCATATTTGCTGTCATTTTACTAATTCAAAACATCTGAAGTGGCACCTGTAGTTCTCTA